GCATTTGCATTTCTATTCTTTCTTACGTGTAATTTTTCCTCCATTATTAAACCCACATTAACCTACTTATATCAAATAGGCATACAATTAAGGTCAAATTTCAATGATGTGGTTCCATTTCTTTCTACTACATTAGCAATGTCATTGGAACAGCAGTGACAAAATTGTTGCTAAGTACAATCAAGGTTTTCAAGTTGTTGTCATAGCAAATACTCATTTTCAGAAATGGAGATATGAAACTAAACTGGCAGACAGTATCATTTTGAGTCACTTCAGAAGTTTGCAAGTCAATTGACCATTGCAAGAGGCAATTTATGACTCAGTATATAATAGTGAAAGTATAGATTGCAGGAAAACTGAATCTTTAAGACAGATAGTTTTCTATATTTATAATCATTGGTAAAAGGGATACACATGGTGTGGACGGGGGCTGGATAACAGGGCTTCTGGCAGTATTGGTAGTTAGGAAAGAGTGCAAAGGAGCAAATGCTAAAGGATGAATAGAAGTTGCCTAATGTAGGTTAAAGGACTAGAGATCAGAAGGAATGATAGTGAGAAGAACAAGTGCAAAAATCCTTGAGCACAAAAGCAGGTGCAATTAGAATTCAAGAAAGAAACTGAATATGAGTAATATGAAGCTGGGAATGTAGTCAGAGGCCTAGGAGGATTGAAATGTTTTAAGAAGTTAGTGAAATAATGAGCTTGGATTTAAAAATTTAGCTCTAATGAGCTTGAATTTAAAAATTTAGCTAGAAAATGGATTAGGAGGTTATATGAATTCTTGGAGATCAATTGCAATGTTAATCATACATCAACCTTTGAGAATATACTGTGTCAGAAACGGTTGCTAGGCAGAGATAAATTGGTGAACAAGACTAACAAGGCTCTTACAGAACTGAAAGTATCTTAATGTTTTCAAAGGTAAAAAAAAAATTATGAATAAATGTATTGGTACTTTTATAAAAATGTAAAATATAAGCATTAATATCTTCAATAAAAAGATTTAATGGAAATAAAACATTGAATTTTGGCTTTTCTATGAACTAGTTAGGTAAAGGTTTAAACTTCTATGTTGCTAGCATTGTTAAAAATCATCTGTAAAATGAAGAGACTAATGAGTTGAGTATTTTTCCCCCACATCTAAAATTTACTAATCAAATTACATAATTTGAAATAACAGCCTCATCATATTTGGAAACCCTTACTCAATAAGGAAAGTTAATTCCATTTGTCCAAGTGAAACTTTAAGTGCAAAATTTGTATCGTTTTACAAACTGAAGTCAAATGATTTATAATATAATGATTTGTGTGATTAAAGCAATGGTGCATATCCTAATTGCTGGCTACTGAGGTGTGTAAAATAGTTTCTTCTGGCTCACAGTGATTATAAGTTCTAAAGCTTGTTTTACAGGCAGAGATGACAGGCTAGAAGATGCTCTGTTATAATGAACTTAGACATATAACATTTTAATTGGAAAATGTTAATAACTCCAAGAAAGGATGGAATTCCATAATATTCATGAAAACTTTTGAAGTAAAAACATTAAGTGATAAATTCCTAGAGGTACTGAATCTTTGTCATTGTACTTAGTGTGACATTATATAATTCTATGTACCTCATAAATGATTTGAGGGGTAAAGACAGTGATGATAGCAAAGAAACAATTATATTAAATTTTTGTAATATTACAGTGCTAGTATTCAATTACAGTAAAACATTTAATCCTATGATTAACAATTTTAATTTACTACGAAAATGTTATTATTGGTTGATAATATATTTCACTTTTTTTTTAAAGATTTATTTATTCATACAAGCACTGGGTACAGTCAGAAGCTCAGGAGGGTGAGAGAATTCACCAGAGCCAGAGCGGGGAACAGAACAGGCAGACTGATGAAATACACTGCTGAGGGGAGCAGCGGGCCCGGCAGGAGAGGTCTGTCGTGCCATGTGGGACCCTCGCTGGCAGCTGAGGATCGAACCAGTGCTGCAGAGGCTGTGGGCAGCTTCGCAAGCCCAGTGCTCAACTGCTGTGCCACCAGGGGAGGCCCTATATTTCACATTTTTTAATAAAATCTAGAAATTATATTTCATCACAACTTTATTTTTTTTTTTCAAAAAAAATTTTTTTAAGATTTATTTTATTTATACAAGAACCGAGGTACAGGCCAGAGGTGCAGGAGGGTGAGAGGATTCACCAGAGACAGAGTGGGGAGCAGAACAGGCAGACTGACAAAATACACTGCTGAGGGGAGCAGCGGGCACAGTAGGAAAGGTCTGCTGCACCATGTGGGATTCTTGCTGGCCGGTGGGGATCGAACTGGCTCTGTAGAGGCTGCGGACAGCTTCACAGCACAGCGCTCAACTGCCTGCACCACCAGGGAGGCCCTCATCACAACTTTAGGTAATAAAAACAAGTCCACCACAACCAATGATGTACGATATTGCCACAAATTTAGTAATTTTTTCAGATATAATTCTTATTATAATTACAAAGGTGTGAGAAATTTTGCAAATTCTAATTTGAAGAGTGAAAACATAGGTAGTATGTTCACTTATGAATGAGGGTGGATGTTTCATAAGCCCAAATTAACTTTCCTAACTCCCCATTCTCTGATGCCCTGAGAGTACAGATGAAAAACCAAGATGGAGATGGGGGACGAAGGGAGGAAAGGAAAAGAAAAGAAATATGAATAAAAAGGGAAAAAAGGAGAAGAGGAAAGAGTTGAGATGGGAATCCAAGAGTGTCATCCAATTCAGAGATGGAGGTGCGGAAGTTAATTATCCAAAAGAAGAATGTCAGTAGTTCTATCTTCCACGCTTCACTTTTATACCTCAGAATTATTTTATTGCTTGGGGAAATAAATATGTCACAAACTTTAATAAATTAAGTACTTAAATTCAGTTCAATTTCTTTAGTATGTTGGGTGTGAAACCTGTTCATTCAGCATCTTGGGAATTGTGGACAAAATAAAAATTTTCCTTCCATCTTGCTCCCTTCTCTCTCAAATTTACACAGTTTTGTGCCCTTGGCATCCAAATTCAATAACTGAGGCAGCTAATATTTAACAAAAAGAATCATGGCTAGCACTTGCCTTGGAAAGGCTTGGAAACCTGGCCAAGGTTAGCACTAAGAGTCATGTTTTCCAGACACCAGGAGGGTGTGTGCCTACCAGGGTTTCCCTTAAAAGAAGAAAACAGATTTGGTGTTGAAGGACTGTCATCTGTAGTTAGTAAAATGCAATGAAGGTCTTAGCCCTATCAAGGTTGGTGCATTGAAGGAGGGGGTTTGTGATTTGGATACAGTAGGGTGGGGTAAAGGGACTAGAAAAAAAGGTGCCTTTCCTCCTGTGGTCAGGGGTGAGAAGGGAGTGTGGAGAAAGAATCATCGGTCTCATCCGGCAACTTCAGGGCCTCAGCTGTAGTAGAGTATTAGTAAAAGTAGCAATATTAACAGATAATAGCTATTGAATATCACATGCTAGAATAGTATAACATTCTTAATCACTGTGAGTTAATTCCTATTAACTCAAAATTAAAAGTGAATGTGCTTTTATTGAAGGACAAACTGAGGCACAGAGAGGTTAAATAACTTACTTGAGATTACATCACTATGAAATAGAAGATCGAATTGCCTATTTGTGAATCAGACCAAACTTATATAACTTAAAAGGAATCAAACATAACTTTCCTTAGAATAGTAAACAACTTGTGCTGTGACATTTGATAGTCAATCATTAGATTTGGGTACAAAGTTTGTTTAACAGGGAGCAGTGCCCAGACAAATGGGCTGTTTTCCTCACTAGCTTAATATTTTTTCAGTGATGGGAATTTTTGGAATACAGGGCACACCCTACTTTAAGTAGGCAAGCACATTCCAATTATAAGCAGGGAAAGCAATAATTACCACACTGCTTCACTCATTTTGTGAATTGCATTACAAAGACATTCTAAGTTGTTCCGACAAAAATTAGCAAAACATATCCCCGACCCGCTAGAAATGTTTGGACGTGTTCCATTCCGAGGTACCAGTTTTCTACCTCTTCTTGGAATTTTAAGGTTTTTGCATCGGATTCCCCTTTCTTCATTAATTAAATCTGTAAGTGGGAACTAGGCAAAATCTGCCTGGGGAGGTTTTGCTTATGAGGTCGTGTTATAGGGTATTATATTTAAAAATCAAAGAAGGTAAAAGATTGTTTTTATAAAAGCAATGTAACTACAGGAAAACAAGAAATTTTTGGCTAGTCTTTAGAGGAAAATAAATGATGTCACGGTGGGAGGAGCGGGCAGCTGGAGGCACTGACTCGGGATTTAGGAAACGTTAGAATCTCGTGACACTTTCTTATATTTGATCAAATTCAAGGTTGGATTTCCCCCCCCTCCAAAAAAAAAAAAAAAAGCTCAAGAAACACTGAGAATTTATTCAAATCATCCCACAATTCCCTTAGAGCAGAGCACAGTGCTTCACATACATGAGGATTTAGATAAGCGGGAGCTGATGTGGGGGGTCTCTCCGGGGAGCCCCGGAGTTCTTAGCCCTGCCACCCCAACACGACCACCTCAGCCCAACTGTAAATAACATTCCTAAGGCAGAAAGCACACGCATTGGACAATCTCACAGGTCAGTTACCACTAGGGAAAGTTTCATCTGTGGAGGCACTGATTTAATTGCCAAAGATGTGCTGGGGCTTAAATAAAAAAGTTGAGAGTGAGCAAAATAAACTCAAACTTTATTCGGGAAAAGGGACGTTCCGTGAATAAACAGGAGGCGGCCACAGACACACCTGCCGCCCCCACCTGACAAACCCGGACCCAGCACCGCCACCTCCCGGCCACATCCGGGCATTTTACAAACTCTAGACGTTCCGACGTCCAAGCCGTTGGGTTCATTTGAAACGCACGCACAGCCAATCAACACACTTCCATAGGGAGGCGGGCGGAGAGCAGCGACCAATCACCGGCTCTCTGGAGACGCCAGCCTATCAGAAGGAGGCTGACGTCATGCGCCAATCGGCAGGCTTCTTAGAGACAGCGGCTCGCTTTTTGAATTGGCGGTGGCCGCCGCGGGCGTGCATGGCGGTAACGGTGAGCGGCGTCGGCGCCTGAACAGGTGGACCCTCCCGGGCGTTTTATTTGCGTGGTGAGACCCGGTGGGCCGAGGTGGCGGGCGGGCCGCGGTCCAGCTCGCCCGGAGCAGTGAGCTGCTTTGCTTGTGGCCGGCAGCTCCGCCCCGGTGACCGCGGATTCCGGAGCGCGCCCGGGACAGGCTTCCCGACTCCGGGCACCGCGCCCACCGCTCCCCCGGCCGCGGGGCCGCGACGCGGAGTGGGAGCCCGGAGCCCTCCGGACGGCTGGGCGGCGGCAGGGCTCACCTGGCGGGGCTCACCTGGCTGGGCGGTGGCGGGGCTCACCTGGCCGGGCGGCGGCGGGGCTCACCTGGCTGGGCGGCGTCGATGCTCACCTGGCTGGGCGGTGTCGATGCTCACCTGGCTGGGCCGCGGCGGGGCTCACCTGGCTGGCAATTTTTCCGGAAGAATCTCTGGGTGAAGGGAGGGATTTGGAAAGGCGGTCTTGGCACGCAGCTGCAGCCTTTAGGGGCTTATCTCAGAGCACCCAGTGCTTTTCTTTCTAGGATTCTTCCTGGCGTCTTTTCTACGGGAAGTTTAGTTTTTTTAGTTTTGCCATAAAAAGCTAGCCTCCCCCCTGCCTCTTCTCTTCCCTTCCCCCTCCGTGCCCTCTCTGCCACTGATCTGTATTGCTTTGGGTTAAAAGTGCTCGTTCTGGAATGCAAGCCAGAAAAAGAAAAATACCGGATAGTCTTACTCATAGCAGGAATTGAGAAAACCTAAATAAGGGACCAGGAAAAAGACTAATTATAATAAAGTAAAAATCAAAATCAACGAGCAACTGTAAGCCACAGACACACTACAAGGTGGGAGGGGGAGGAGGGAGTAGGATCAAAACAAGGGGTGTGGGAATTGTATGGGGACTATAACCAAGATGAAAATGCATGCATTGTGCACAAATGAAAAATGATATAAAAATATAAAATTTAAAAAAAAAGTTTGAACCCCTGTTTTACCACGCACTTAGGGGACGTTACTTAACCCCTCTGTTGCAGATTTCTTTATCAATGAGATGGCGATTGTAATAGTACTTGTGTCTTAGGATTGCTGTAAATGTAAATAAATACAAGTAAGAGATTTAGAACAGTGACTGCCACATAGTAAGCTTGGAATAAATGTTAGGTATTCATCAGGATGTTTATAGTAACGTTAATATAGGGTTATTGTCATTAACACCACTAACCTATCCAGTATTGCCTTTATCTCCTCACCCTGAAAGCTGATTGCCTAGAAAATAAGTAAAAGGAAGTCTTTTGCTTAAAGTGAGTATTTGTTTAAGTGGCAAATTTTGTCTTTGGGATGAAAAGAAACAAGTGTTAGTGTATTCGGAAGTTCTTTGAATATATTTTTAGATGAGAAATAAGCTGGGTAAGTTTATGAACACTGACCTATTGTATTTATTTAAAAAGTTTACAGAATACATAAATATGAAAAAATGATTAGTGTATTTTGATTTGGGCATTATAGCATCAATTTACCATGCAGCTTTTTTTTTCCCTAAAATTTGAAACTTTTGGCAGTATACTGATCATATGTCATATATCATCAAAGACATTTAATTTTTAAAATTCAGATTTTATTCATCTGATAGTCTTTAAATGGGTATAGAAGAAAAATATATTTTCTTTTTTGATTTATTTGGTAAAATCTCCAATTAGGGCAGTTTAGTTCATTCTTGACTGTTTTCTTTTAAGGTAACATTCTTTTAAGGAAACTTTGGATGAAAGCCTGTTTACACCCTTTCCTTTTTCACTAAAAACAGCTAAGGGTAAGAGACTTACTGAAAGAAAAAAAAGGGCTGTATAGAATTTATTATTGAGTCCATATAAAGATTCTTTGGATATAAGAAAAATAAATGATGGATGCATTGTGAGGCAATAAGAAACATCGACATTGTGAATATTATATGAAATTAATAATTGTCACTCATTTAAGACAACATCTATTCAGTTTTTCTCACAACTGGATTTAAGTTGTACTATTACCTTCCTCACTTGTGTGAAAACTAAGACTTAATCTAGTAAGGCAGATCTTAGATTGGGAAGTTGAGTCACTTGACTTTGAAGAGTGCAACTAACAGTTGTGCTTAGGTTTATTATTATTAATATGCACATTTTCACATGACTTATCACCATCCAGAATTGATGCTAATGATACCTCACTGTTTCTCTGCAGTTATTTAAACTATTATCTTTCTAAGATTCTGGTGGGAGATATTTACATATTTCATTAATCTGAAAAAGTAGGAAAGGGTAAAGTAGATCAAACAAGTACCTTCAGATGAAGGTGGGGCCTCCTCTTTTTTTTTTTTTTTTTTTATAGAGGCATGCTTTATTTATTTGTTTGTTTGTTTGTTTTGTTTAATGCACTGGGTACAGTCAGAAGCGCAGGAGGGTGAGAGAATTCACCAGAGCCAGAGCAGGCAGAAGGACCGAGGTACACTGCTGAGGGGAGCAGCGGGAGGCAAGAGGGGTCTGCGCACCATATGGGCCCCTCCGGTGGCCGGGGAGCAGCCGGAACCGGCGCCGCAGAGGCCAGCGGGCAGCGGGCAGCTTTGCAACCCAGCGCTCAACTGCTGCGCCACCGGGGAGGGGCCTCCTCTTTATTTGTTCAGGAGTCTGGTAATTTGAGATAATAAACTGAGGTTAAAAACCCCAATGTGAATTAATGAAAATCTGTCAGCTTTTTTTTTTAATTCTCTACTTGCTTAACTTTTCAACTCCTTCATGTTGGAAATCTTAAAAAAAAACAAAAAACAAAAAATGCAATTTTTTTTTAAGATTTATTTATTTATACAAGAACCAGGGTACAGGCCAGATGCGCAGGAGGTTGAAAGGATTCACCAGAGACAGAGCGGGGAACAGAACAGGCAGACTGACAAAATACACTGCTGAGGGGAGCAGCAGGTGAGACAGGAGAGGTCTGCAGCTCCATGTGGGATTCTCGCTGCAGACAGCTTTACAGTGTGGCGCTCAACCGCCTGCGCCACCAGGGAGGCCCAACGAATGCAATTCTTTACTGGTCCTGAGTCACATTGGCACTAACCCTTGCATAATTGTCTTATAATTGTGTTAAAGCTTCTAGAGGAGAGACATTTATAAAATAATATGAAAGTACAAGAAAGGGAGCAGTCCATTTGTTATGAGAGATAGAGGATGAGACAAGAATGGTGAATTTGGGATTGAGACATACTGGGTGGAGAATTGAGTGCTATTTACTCTAAGTTGGTGTGGAATAAATTGTAATTTGTGTTTGAAAAATGCTGAGAAATAATCATGGCTGGAGTCCACATACAATATACGTGGGCTAAGAGAATAATAGATGATGAGATTGAATAGGTAGATTAAAACCAAATTGTAAACTGGATGGTGAGTTAAGACTTGATCATGTATAAGGAGGAGTGTTCATAGAAGTTCTTAGTAGGAAAGTGATGTGGTCTTATTTGTTTTTTGGATCATACTCCTGCAAAACTATGTGAAGAAACTGACATTAGAGATACTTGTTTGAAGCTGTTCAAATGACCAGGTGGCCATTGTTATATTGGGATTTTAAAAGGGCTAGGTTCCAGAGATACTTGAGATGGGATTGATAGGAATTTGGGGGAGGAGTGAATGAGGTAAAGAGTATGAATCCAGTTTTTAACTGGGATCATTTGGATGATGATGTGGTGGTATAAGAGAATGTAGAAAGACAAATAGGTTGGCTGAGGGAAGGTTGTAGAGGAGGGAGGTAGAATAATACATATCCTTTGGAATGTTTATTATTTGTCAGGTAATGTTATCAGTACTTTTAATACATTGCTATTTTTATTATATTCCTGTGAATCAAGTTGAGTGATTTTCTTTGGTTCATTAAGAAAAATAGGTGGCAATACTTTTCATAAATTTTAGCTGTAAAAACCTTTAATGCTTGTTTTTACTCAATAATCATATTTGTTTCATGTATTTTTGTTCAATTTTTTTTTTCAGTTGACATAGACAAGTATAAACAATGGCTGACAATAGTGTATTAGCATCCACTACTGAGAGGACAAGCTTGGCTGACTCCTCCATTTTTGATTCGAAAGTTATTGAAAATTCTAAGGAAGACTTATTTATTGCATCTACTCCATATGTTGAAGGTAATTTTGTTATCTGCTTTAAACCATAACGATTATCTTTTTCCCAATTTTATTGAGATATAATTGACATAGCTCTTATATACATAGCTATACATGCATACAGCATACATAGCTCTTGTATAAGTTTAAGGTGGTACAGCTCAATAATTTGATTTACATAATATTGTGGAATGTCAACTTGTTATAGGGCAACCCCGATATAAAATGGGTTACCTGACTGTGGGTCCTCACCCACATGCTTAAAGGGGACTTACAGCAGGAACACATAAAAGGTTAACAAAAGGTTTATTTACAAGGGAAGGGGAAATGAACAACTCAGGGAGAAAAAGAGGGAGATAAATTCTTAAATGCATCTGACCTGTTCCGCTGACCTGGAATCCCAAATGACCTGCCAAGACCAAGCCTGCCTGGCTAAGAGCACAAGCCAAGAGAGAGCGAGACCCCTTCACATGGCTGGTTATAAACACAAGCCAGAAAAAATGGCTGCTTAACTCCGCCCTTAGGTCCTCGCAACCTCCCTTTGGGGATCATGGGATTTGTAGTTCCCAGTGTCTTGATGGAGTGGGGGTGGCATCCACAAAGCCTGTATGGAGTTTGTGCAGGACATCCTTTCCCCCTAACAAACTCACTGAATAGAGTGCAACTATTCACTAAATATTGGTTGACAGAATCCCTTTGTACTATGTAGATTTTTTTGTAAGCTTTCTTATTTATGCATACAAGAGCTGGGGTATAGTCCAAAGGTATGGGGTATGGGGTGGGGGGTTGTGAGAGGATTCACCAGAGACAGAGTGGGGAGCAGAACAGGTGGATCAACTGAAATACACTGCTGAGGGAGCAGCAGGTGAGACAGGAGAGGTCTGCTGTGCAATGTGGATTATTAGCTCTCTGGCCAGGGATGGAACTTGTGCTGCAGTGGCTGTGGATAGTTTCATAGTGCTGAGACTTAACCCTGCACCACCAGGGAGACCCACTATGTAGATTTAGTGTTGAGACTCAATCCCTTGCGCCACTATGGAGGCCTATTGTAGATTTTTGATTACTGCTTGGATTAATGTTTCCTCACTTTGAAGAGGAAGTCTTCTTTTTTTATGTATAAGGGCAGTCTAACCTACAATATTATTAGGTAGAATTTGGTCACTTCTGGCTGAGTAGGTGAAGAACCACTCTTTCCCTTACCATTTTGTAGAATGTATCTTTCTTATGTATACACTGTTGAAGAGATGATGGGAAATGCTTTCTTTTGTTAAGAGGGTGCTAACATTTGTATGCACTGCTATAATATATTTTCTCTTTCACTAAAGTGTTGTATGGCCATTTAAAAAATGTAAGCTGGGAATTAAATCATTTGTAGTTTTAGAGTCTGTTATGATCACCTCAAAGATGGAAAATTTGCCAGATCTAGCAGTAGGAACTATGCTTTTGGTGTTAGTGCCTGATAAACACATTTAAATGTTTTTCATTTTTAATAGAAGAAATGCCTCAGATTGAAACAAGAATGATATTGGTTCAAGAAGCTGGAAAACAAGAAGAACTTATAAAAGCTTTAGAGGTACGTAGTTTCAATTTTTAGGCTATTTTTCTTCCATCAGTGTGTAAATAATTTTATAGTTTTCTTAATCTTACACTTAAGTCTCTTTTTCACAGACTATTAAAATAATGGAAGTCCCTGTTATAAAGTTAAAAGAAAGTTGTCCTGGAAAATCGGATGAAAAATTTATAAAAAGTGTTGTTAATATGGTAGGTCAATCACTTCATTGCATGTAGCATGCTGCACTTCCCTTGATTATATTCTTATTTTCCACTTATGGTGATTGGACCTAAATTGGGCACAAGGTACATTTTGTTTATTCTAGAGCTAAATGAGTAAAAACTATTATTTTTAAAATTTGGGCATTTCTGAAATCCCAAACTATATCATATATTTTTTAAAAAATGAAATCCTCATGAAGTAATTTATCACTATTAAATTAAATGACATATATTAACAAAAATTTGATTCTTTAATTCCTTGGCTGCTTCTTTCTCATTACTTTTACTTTAAATCCTTTATTTCCAAAATTATAAATTATAATAATTGATAGACACCAGGGAATTAAGTTCAGCATGTGAAATATGTATATTTCTCTATATTAGGTTTATTAATTGGCAATGAGTGCCATAACAAATATCACACACTGGGTCGCTTTTAAACAACAGAAATGTACTCACTTATAGTTCTGGAGGCTAGAAGTCCAAGATTCAGATTCAGGTATTTGGCAGGTTTGATTTCTCTTGAGGCCTCTCATCTTGACTTGCAGATGGCCTCCACTTTCTTGCTGTGCCTTCACGTGAACTTTCTTCCGTGTGTTTACATGCCTGTAGCTCTTATGTGTACAACATAATCCTTTTATAGAGACACACTACAGATTAGATTTAGGCCTAGCCATGTAACCATTTAATCTTAGCTATCTTTTAAATGACCTTATCTCCAAATATTCACAGTCTGAGCTACAGGGCAGTAGGGCATCAATGTGAGTTTAGGGTTACATAAATCAGCTCATCACATCAACCGAGCAAATAAAGCCCAAATAATTTATTAACTCATTCAGAATTTTCTTTTAAATGGTTTTCTTTTTACACATACAGTCATATAGGTACTGAAATATTTCCATTCTTTTTTTGTAGATGTACAGTATAAAAGTTAAACAGTAACTTTCCTTTTTATCTCTTATATTTGCTGTGCTATAACTGTCTATATATTTTACATCTTTCTCTTAGTTCTCTCAAATATGTTGAAATGATTAAGTTAATCTGTATACTTTTTTGTAAATATTAAGTGACATAGTAGCTTTTCTATTTTTCTGAAAACAATTCTTGTACGAAGACCTGTGTGAATGGCATCATTTCTTAGAATAAAAATTAATAATTTTTATTAATTAGTAGGATAATTAGTATTTAGTAATTATCCTTCTCATATGTTGTACTATCCCTGTGTATCCTTAAAAAAACTCATATATATATATATATATATATATATTAGATTTATAATGATTCTTAATCATGTCAGAAGCTTATGCCTTTATAATATTACTCTTCAAAATTTAAGGTCTTATATAGAGATGCGTGTATCTATAATACATGTGAGAACTATGACTTCACTACTAAATGCAGTTCTGATTATTATATGATTTAAAACTTAAATTTCTACTAATATAAAATGTTGAATTGATTTTATGTCTTATTTAGAATTATGAATTGATTTTATAATTTATAAACAATTTTTATTTCTAATAACTACATAAAACAAATCAAGGAAATTAAAGTGTCCTTTGTAAAGATGGAATCAGTGGAAGAATTTGAAAGTTTGGATTCTCCAGAATTTGAAAATGTATTCATAGTCATGGACTTCCAGGACTCTGCCTTCAATGACTTATACAAAACTGACTGCAGAGTTATTGGGCCACCAGTTGTATTAAACTGTGCACAAAAAGGAGCGGTAAGAAAGAATATGTACTTATTTTGACTTAAAGTTTAAATTTTTATTACTGAATTTTTTGAAAATTCATGAGCATTAGAGTTGAGAGTATGAAAACCCATTAGAGTTGAGAGTATGAAATTTTTAGAATAGAAGTAGTGGCTACTTTAAAATAGTCCTTTAATTGTTTCTACAATAATTTTCTTTTTTTTTTTTTTTTAAGAGGCACGTATTTTATTCATTTATTTATTTGTTTGTTTGTTTGTTTTTGTTTATACATGCATTGGGTACAGTCAGAAGCGCAGGAGGGTGAGAGAATTCACCAGAGCCAGAGCGGGGAGCAGAGCAGGCAGACTGACGAAGTACACTGCTGAGGGGAGCAGCGGGCGGCAGGAGAGGTCTGCGCGCCATGTGGGACCCTCCTCCGGTGGCCAGGGAGCAGCTGGGGATCGAACCGGCGCCGCAGAGGCTGCGGGCAGCTTCGCAACCCAGCGCTCAACCGCTGCGCCACCGGGGAGGCCCTCTACAATAATTTTCATTAGTGAAAAATCTAAGACCTTATAAAGTAGAACAACTATACATACATGAGTATGTATGTCTTGAGAAGAAATAATTTGCTTAAACTTAGGTTCAAGAATCATATACTTGTACATAGACATATTTTCCACCACACAAAACATACCACATTTTGATTTTTATCAATTACTGAATGATTTAAAATTAGGGAAGTTATTTTAGCTTTTTGTGTTTGAACAGAATTTTGATATAAGAACTGTAGCAGAGTTAGTCTCTATCCTTTGCTTTTATTCATACATTTTGCCATTTTTAAACTTGCCACTTGCCTTATTAACTTAAAATTGTTTAGGTCATTGTGCTTTTGTCATTATAGATCTAGTAATAAGCACATGACAGTCTTTAATTCTCTGTTTTAACTCAAGTTTTGGTTTCAAAAATCAAGTGTGTGTGGGTATGTAAGTGTAAGCTTTGTAATTTTACATTTGTAAACATACATAAGCATATAAGTAATACCTTTGACTAAATTATTTACTATCTCTACTTTTTTTTAGCTATGCTAGAATTACATTTGGTTCAAGTGCACATATTAATAACCTAATATTTATTTTAAAGTATCTTTGATGTCTTTACAGTTTAATTTGACACATTTACAATTGTGTATGGATTCTGAAATCTTTGTTTATAGACAGTATTTCATATATGTCAAAGTAAATTTTGGATTTAAAGATTTGCATATAAATGTTTAATTCACTAGTTGTAAAGTGTTTAGATTATGCATATCAAGTATGATTCAGAAATCATGGGACATATTTTTATTGCAAAGCTTGCAATTTTTTTTACTGTATCTTGTCACATATTGAAAAACCCAAGTAAATCTTTGGATTGGCTAAATTGATTGGCGAGAAGGAGAAATATGTTTAGCTTAGTGGTGTTATTTAATTTTATAAAGAAAACTCACAGATTTAAATTTATTGCATTCTTCAGCCTTTGCCATTTTCATGTCGCCCACTGTATTGTACAAGTATGATGAATCTAGTATTGTGCTTTACTGGATTCAGGAAGAAAGAAGAACTAGTAAGTATTTTTTTTTTATTGTTTTATTTATTTATGCATATAAGAACTGAGGTGTAGGCCAGAGGTCGGGGGGGGGGGGGGGTGAGAGGATTCTCCAGAGACAGAGTGGGGAGCAGAACAGGCGGAGCTTCTGAAATACATTGCTGATAGGAGCAGCAAGCAAGATAGGAGAGGTTTGCTGTGCCATGTGGGTTAACTCCCTGGCTGGGAATCGTATTCATTCTGCAGTGGCTGGCAATAGCTTGGTAGTGCTAAGACTTTAATCCCTGCTTTGCCAGGGAGGCCTGAACTAATAAGTATTTTAAAACATTCTACCCAAAGAAAATTTTTTGCCAGTATAATAAATTTAAATTTTCAGTTTTTTGGGAGTTACATCATGGTTTTATTTTTAAAATACTGAAGGAGAAATTAATGCAAATATATCACGTGTTATATTTTCATAACTCTAATTTGTTTAACTGTCTTTCTGTTAAATATATATCAGCCATGCTATTTAAATTTTTTGATTATCCATTGCACTTATTTTTTATGCAAGTCTTTTTCTTAAGGTGTTCTCATTGCTCTAAAGAATTCGTAGAAATCTTTTGATTTGTAAAATTTTCTGTATTGGCGCTAAGAGCTTTAATTTCATGGGAAGACTCTTCGTGTGATGTAACCTTGTGGTAAAAATATGTCATATATTTCAACTTCTGAAAGCCAGTTGTTTAACTTATGTGTGATTATCTTTACCAGCTTATTTCTATGTATAATTTTGCAAATGCCAATAAGGCAAATAAATCCTTAATTATTTGACATAAATTTTATATCTTTATAAAAATTCTTGTATATACCATATAAGTAGTATTCAGTAAATGCTAAATGAATTGTAAACACAGTTTGAAATGTGTTTAAATGAATGTTGCTTAATTTTTCTTTTGAGGTCAGATTGGTGACATTGGTCCATCACATGGGTGGAGTTATTCGAAAAGACTTTAATTCAAAAGTTACACATTTGGTGGCAAATTGCACACAAGGAGAAAAGTTCAGGGTATGTAAAACGGTATATTTGTGTAGCATTATTTGGGGGTAAATTTTGTGTAGCACTATTTGGGGTAGATTTGATTTTTTTTTTAAAGATTTATTTATGCATGCAATGGATGGCGCTGGAAGGGATCATGCTCAGCGAAATAAGCCAAAAAGAAAAAGAAAAATACCGGATGGTCTCACTCATAGCAGGAATCTAGAAAACTTAAATAAGGGACCAGGAAAATGAATAACTATAAGAAAGTGAAAATCAAAATCAACAAAAAACTATGAACCAGAGACACTTTTAGGGGGGTGGGGGTGGGAGGGGAGGGATTGGGGTCAGAATGGGGGGGCTGCAATTGTATGGGGAATATAACAATAAAATTTATTTAAAAAAAAAAAAAAAAAAAAAGAATTGGTGGCTGATGTTTAGAACCAGCAATATCTACCACCATTCTCTCACTTTTCTGTTTAGATCTGAATGAATGCTGCTGATCAGTATTAAAATCAAAGATGAATTAAGAGAACAAAACAGAGGCAGAGAAAAAGCTTAGGGAATTAGGGAAAGTGAATGTAAAAACCGTTGGTTACAGAATTATGTGACAAATTTCTCAAAATTAGAATTTATTATAAAATAAACATTTGGGAAAAATGAGAGTCCAGTGTGTATAAATGAAGGTTAAGCATATTTTTATATGGACTGCTTTTTCCGCTTTTTTGTTTGGATATGCATCATTATTTATTGACTTTTAAGAACTTATGTCTATTAAGAAATAAGCCTTTTGTCTTTCATTCCATTAATGTAAAGCATACTTAAATATTTATCTTAGGTTTCTAATGAAAAGAACTTATTAATGATAAAAAAAAAAAAAAAGATTTATTTATGCATGCAATAATGAGGGTACAGGCCAGAGGTGTGAGGGGGTGAGAGGATTCACCAGAGACAGAGTGGGGAACAGAACAGGCAGATTGACTGAAATACACTGCTGAGGGGAGCGGGGAGCAGCGGGTGAGTCCAGAGAAGGTTGCTGCGCCATGTGGGTTACCTCCTGGTCAGGCATCCAACTCATGCTGCAGTGGCTGCAGATAACTTCATAGTCCTGCATCTTAATCCCTTGTGCCACCATGGAAGTCCCTATTTGAGGTAGATTTGAAGTAAATTTTTGTATAACATTATATGATAGATTTAATAATACTCTTTAATTCCATCTATTTTTCCAACAGTTTGTTGAGGATCAGAAGTGCAGTTTGTGCTCTGTATACTTTACTAAGAATTTTAAATTGTAGAAGTGCTGATCCTTTAGGGTTTTAAGGAGGCAATAGAACCTGAGTTAGGTCTGAAAGATGACTAGGATTGAGGAGGTTGGTGAATGGATAACATTTCAGGCAGATAACTAATATTAGCAAAGGTTGCTTAGTACCATTAATAAATGAGGTGGTCAGGAAATGATGAGAACAGGTATTTCACTGTTGTCTAAATGAGTTTTATAAGAACAGAACTGTTTTGTAAAATAGTTCTAAGATTTGTTTAAACTATAAAAATAGAAATTATTAATATTAAAATATTAGTTTAAGGTTGAGTTTGTCACTTTATTCCCACAATCTCTCAGTATATTTATGTAGGAAATACTAATTGTGGGCAGTGTTGAATTCCTGGGAGGTATACTTCCCAATTCATATCTAGGTTTTTAATTATTTAATCAGACAATTTATTTTGTAGTACAGTTGTGAGGGTCAGTATTTTGTTTTTATTAATTTATTTTTAATTGAGATAATAATTGGATACCACCACCACATCCCCTCTAGTCCACCACCATACTCCATTGTAATTCTTGGAAGTAAACATGAAGGACAGAGGAAGAAATAAAACAAAGACTAATTTAATCAATTTTAGAATATGTTTATTTGGAATAAAATAAGTGGTTTGGATGTCATGGTTTAAATAATTTTAATTGAAGCATGATTGAAACTTTTTTGTTAATTTTTCTTTATTTTGTTACAAAGCAGATGAGTAATATAAAACTGCAAAAAAGGCATATGATTGCTTAAAACTTGGATGAATGCAGTTATTTAATGTGAAAATTTATCCTGATGTTTTTAATTTTAGATTGCTGTCAGCCTGGGTACTCCAGTTATGAAGCCGGAGTGGATTTATAAAGCTTGGGAAAGGCGGGATGAACAGTAAGTGTTTAGTAATTCAGTTGTTCATTATGTGAATTAAACATATGTTATAAAGATCAATACATACAACAGAAACCCTAAAATTTTAGGTAGTACAGGAAAAATGAATTGAGTTTTTGAGTAGTTTAGAGAATAAAGTTTAGGTGGAGCAAAGCTATAAAAAGTAGTGAAAAATGTCTGTGGTATCTTTGAACTTTGCCTAGTAAAATTTCAATTATCATAAACATTCTACAGTTATTAATAGCTTAATGCATTTGGACATTTGTTTTCTTTTTGTTTGGTTCCATTTTTAGTAGTTATTGTATTTGTTAAACTTTCCAACTTCATGATTCCTTCTTATTGTACTGCATTATTATGTAGGATTTCATGCAACTATGTAATTCCTGGAATACATATAAAATTTCAGATACAGAGTAGGGATTTGAATCTTGGATCAGTTTGTCAGAGGTATTCAATTCTGACAGAAAATTTGTCTGAATTTACTTTGGGATGACTGAGGGGGCATCAATTTTTATTTTTAAATTGAAGTTTTTATGAACCTTTCAAGACTTAAGTGTAAATGATTTTCAATAAATGGATTATGCTAACACCTTGAGAATGGATTTATAAATTGGTTTAACTTATAAAGAGTGTATTTTGCTTTTAGGGATTTCTATGCAGCAGCTGATGATTTTAGAAATGAATTTAAAGTTCCTCCATTTCAAGGTTGCACGTTAAGTTTCCTGGGATTTTCAGATGAAGAGAAAGCCAACATGGAAGAAATGACTGAAATGCAAGGTATAATTTAGCATAATTCAAATGTAATACATATCTTATTTTCAGCTCCTACTTAATTAGCTCATGGTGCATAAGTCTTTTAAAAAATTTGGGTTTGGAAATGAGTAGACTATTAATTTTGTCTGCATTAATAAATGCTTATTTACACCTGTATGCATTCTTCTTTAGGAGGTAGTTATTTGCCAGTTGGAGATGAAAGATGTACTCACCTTATAGTTGAAGAGAATATAGTAAAAGAGGTTCCATTTGAACCTTCAAAGAAACTTTATGTTGTCAAGCAAGAGGCAAGTAATTCCAGAAAAGAGTTGTTTTAATAAATATTACTAATATCTTTTCTGATAGGGTAACTCTTAATTGAAATGTTCTTTCTCTCATCTAGTGGTTCTGGGGAAGCATTCAGATGGATGCCCGAGCTGGGGAGACTATGTATTTGTATGAAAAGGTATGCTGCTTTGCCCTTTGGGCATTTGTTCTGTGAACTTGACTGGGTAAAGATAACTCTTTTCTATCCAAAATAAGCATGGTATAATTTTTAGTCATTATCTTTTATGTCATGTTTGGGAGTTTTGGAACAATTAATCACTTGATAATATCCTTAGTCTATGTAGATTTAAATAAAAGTATTCAATTAATGGATATTATGTTAATCTAATAAGTGTCTTCTGTGCTAATTTGTGGTATAATCATTTTTAATAACATCCTTAACTTCAGAATCTTAGAACCTTAAGGGAAAGAGATGCACAGTGCAGAATGTTACGTGCTATAATCGCGTAATGTATGTTGACTCAGGTGGGATTGAAAAGCCTAACTATGAGCATAAGAGCAATGTTGAACCAACTTTCTAGGTTAACCTGGTAAGGACATTAAAGTTAAGTGGGGGAGAGGGTATCAGAGTATGAAGGTACATTAAAGTAGCAAATAGCTTAGTATGGCTTTAGCAAGAGTGGAAAGGCAGCCAACATATAAACCATATTAGGTAGGCAGAATCATGAATTATTTTTAATGTTAAAAAGTTTGGATTTTATCCTAGAAGTATTGGAAGCTATTGAAGAATATTAAGGGCAGAGATGTCATTTAAAAAATGACTGCAATGGTAGAACACACGCAAGGAAAATCCAGCTTTTATGCTGGATCTTGGTGAAAAGCAGTATCATTCACCAAAATGTGACATAAAGGTAATCGAGGCAGCTGTAAAGGTAGATTTACTTGAGTTTGGGATTTAATAATTTTGAATGGAATATTGATGAGGTGTGAATTTATTGTGCTTCAGCAAAATCTGTGGGAGCTGTCTTCACACACTCCTGTTCTCTTTGTAAGGTTCTTAACATAAATTTTAAAATCAAGTGTTACTTGACAAATACTGGGGAGCGCTATGTCCAGGTACTGTGCTAACTGCAAAGGATACAGTGAACAAAATATGAATGGTCCCTGCCCTCCTGGAGTTTTTGGTCTAATAGAGAAGTAAACACTAAAGAAACTTATAGACAAATGTCTAATGGGGATTGTGCTATGAATAAAAAAGACAGGGTTTTAGGGGTTATACAATTGCTGTAGCCCCTTGATTATTAATTTTTTTGAAGCTTCTGAATTACCTGCAAGAGTGTATAGTTGTAAAATTATTGTACAAAATCCAGATTTTGTTAGACTTGTAAATATATTCTATTTTCCCCTGTATAAGAAAATAAAATTAAATTTGTAAGTAAATGGAAATGGAAATAAAATTTTTGTCTTTTGTTTGCAGACTAATACCCCTGAACTCAAGAAATCAGTGTCACTGCTTTCTTTAAGTACCCCAAACAGCAACCGCAAAAAACGTCGTTTAAAGGATACACTTGCTCAACTTTCAAGAGAGACAGACTTATCACCTTTTCCTCCCCGTAAGCGCCCGTCAGCTGAACATTCCCTTTCTATAGGGTCACTCCTAGATATCTCCAACACAACAGAGTCGAGCATTAACTATGGAGGTAATTCAATTTCTAAAAAATTGATCTTTAAAATTTGGTTAAATGATTATTAGAATGTAGATATAAAATCCCTTTAGAGTGAATATGAGAGATTCAATCTATAATTAACATTGTTCTAGTCAAAGAGAAATGACACATGACAATGCTTTCATTTAATGATTGCTTGCCATAAACTAAGTCTTCATGTATATTGTGTATTTTTAAGAGAAGTTTCATTACCCTGATTTTACCCTGATTTTAGATGAATAAACTTGGGGTTAGAGAAGTAACTTGTCTAGGACCAAACACCTATTAAACTAGAAATTTCTATTGCTTCTTAACATGACAGCTAAACAAAATCACACATGTTACATGAAAGTAGGTATAATGAAATCAGATAAGGGTAAGTTCACTCTCTTAACCAGTGGAGAAAGGCTCCCACAGTTCTGTCTTGATCATTAATTTTCCTGTTTTCATTTTACTGTATACACAAATATGTTGTATTTTGTAGATTTAAGAAACAACCTCCTCCTGACCCCATGACACTCAACCATTCACTAACCTATTTTTTCCCCTTTCAAATGAGTATTATTCAAAAAATTACCTTGATTCCATCTTTGCTTTTCAGTGTCTTCAGCACATTGCAATTGAATTTTAGTCCCTACTACATGAAATTGTTTTTTATGGGAGACCGATTATTTTTATGTCATCAACAGCATTCAATGCATGAACAACTATATTTTCTTAGACACACTTTTTTCTCTTGTACATCATTTATCTCTCTTCTCGCCTAACTTCCAACTCTAAATATTGAATGTTGTTCCTGTGTTGTTGTTGTTTTCTCTAAATGATCTCATTTAATTTTGTGACTTTTAAAAATCACTAATATGCTGATAACTTACAAAATTTTACTCTTCCTTGTTCAGCTGCCTGCTTGATACTTCCTTGTTCATGTCTAACATCTTAAACTTGCTATCAAGTTAGAACTCTTTATTCTCTGTACCACTTTGATTTCTATTCCTTTGCCACTCTTAGTTGTTTCTATAAAAAGGATTTCAAAAAACTGCAGTGGCCTCCTAAATAGTCTCTACTTCCATTTTTGCCTTTCTATGTGAAGTAGTTAGAGATGTCTCTAAAATATGTAGTAGATTAGATGGTGTTAGTCTGCTGCTGAAGTCATTCAAGTGGATTTGAGAATAGGAACAAGAAAACAAAACAGTAAACAAATTAAGTTTTTAGGGAAAATAGGTAGTTTGCTTATATATGGAGGAAGAGTAGTTAAATTGGAAATGTTAATTGGAGCTTTAAATATTAGAGGGCTTTGAAATCAGTCTGTATGCTTGAACTCTATAGTATTGTCATCAGCAAGGAACTTTAGAAATTCTTGAGCAACGGAATAATTGATTTGGTAATTTGTAGTGGATTATTCTGAAGAATGATTAGAAAAAAGGCATTTTGGAGATAGATAGACCCTAGAGTGGCTTTAGTTACAAGTTAATAAGGCCCTGAGCCATAGATGGAGATGGTGATGGAAAGAGGAATTTTGATAGAATGGGATCATAAGAAGGGCATATAAGAGGAAATGACAGTGAAATATTAAATGGAAGTCATGTTTACCTTTGCAAAAATAGAAAATTTATATTTTAGAAGAGGATGGTACAATTTTAGAGAAAATCCAGGTTGAGTTGAGGCAGACATACTCAGTGGCATTTGGAAAAGTTGAACAATGTACTTGGGTAGAGATTAGATGTGTAGATATGAGAATTTATTGGTTCTGAAATGATGATTGTGGGCGTGGTATGATAGAGTTAATCATAAAGGACTGAATCTTGAATATGCAGTTTAGGGGATAGGAAAAGAAAACGAGCCACAAAAGAACAAACATGACAACTAAACTAATATTTTAGAACTGTATTTAATAGACTCCCAGTCTGTGGTAGAAAATAATTAGATCTGTTTGTGTCAACCTGAAGTACCCTGTATGTGGTGAGAGTAGTTTGATATATGACTAGTGGGAAATTATTTGAAGTCTGTTGTCTTTAAAAAGTTTCCAAAAACTCCATAAAATAAAACTGTATTAATGTTTAAAAGTATTTATCACTGAGTAAAATTGATATGCTGGGACTCTTATCATTTTTTCATGTCGTTCTATTGTGTCATACATTCTTTTTGTATTTCAAAAGTTGCTATTAGGCGAGTCTGTATAATATTGAAGCAGTCTATATGATAATTGTATTTTAAACTTTTATAAATTTAAACTTTTCCTGATTTTTCTCAAAATACTAGTATATCTTCCACTTTGGGTTGGATTGGATGTTTTATGTTAAGATACTTTGAACTAACAAAGAATTTGCGTTTGATACTGGGTTTTTTAAAGGGGAGTTTTGTAAATGTATATACACACATAATGTACATATATGAAAAATTTTTCCATTCTAATTGTGTAATCATAACAACCTTTCCCTCCTTTTCTAATGGCTATTTTTATGTGTTTCTTTCCACTTTATTATTTAAGCTTTTTATTTTTAAATAATTTTTGATATAAAGGCAAAAATAGCACAAAGATTCTTGTACTCTCATTTTCTAAGTGGCAGTATCCTGCCATCTTTGCTTTAGCATTTATTCATTCATGCATTCATTTACTCTTTCCTATACATGTGTACTTTTTTTGCATCTGTGTTATTTCAAAGGAATTTGCAGATAGGATGTACTTTTGCCTCTGAACACCTAAATGTGTATTTCCCAAAATGTAGGAATATTTCTTATGTAACTATAGTACAAATATTGTAATCAGGAAATTAACATTAATAGTATGTGTACTTTATAAACCTTCAATTTTTTTTTAATTTTTTAAAATTTTTTTACATCATTATTCATTTTTAAACAATATTTGCTTCCCTCCACCCCCTCAGGTGTAGTCCCCATAGAATTTCCTTCACCGGTGCACCTAACTTCAGTCCCCTGTGTTCCTCCTTCCCTCCAATCCTTCTGCCTCCTCCTCTCCTGCAGTATGTCTCTGGTTTGTAATTGTCTGTTTTTGCTTTGTTGTATTGTGTACTATTATTATATTTTTACACTGATGTTATTAGGTTTCCCTATATTCTTGCTATAAGTGAAACCATCCCATATTTTTCTTTTTCCTTCTGGCTTATTTCACTGAGCATAATTCCTTCTAGCTCCGTCCATGTTGCTGTGAATGGCATGATTTTATCTTTTTTTTTTTTTGATTGTTGAATAATATTCCATTGTGTATATATACCACATCTTGATCCAGTCATCTATTTTTGGGCGTTTGTGTTGTTTCCAGGTTTTACCTATTATAAATAGTGCTGCAACAAACAAAGGGGTACAGGTGGTCTTTTGAATTGATGTTTTTGTGTCCTTTGGGTAGATCCCTAGTAGTGGAATTGCCGGGTCGTGTGGTAGCTCCATTTTTAGTAGACTGAGGAACCTCCAGACAGCTTTCCATAGTGGTTGGACCTATTTGCACTCCCACCAGCAATGTAGGAGAGTTCCTTTTTCACCAAATCCTTGCCAACACTTGTTGTTGCTTGTATTTTTGATGTGTCATTCTTACTGGTGTAAGGTGGTATGTCAGTGTGGTTTTGATTTGCATTTCCCTGATAATAAGGGATGTTGAACATTTTTTCATATGCCTGTTGGCCATTTGCATTTCCTCTTTGGAGAAGTATCTTTTAAGTTCTTCTGCCCATTTCTTGACTGGATTGTTTATTTTGTTTTTGTTGAGTTGTGTGAGGTCTGTGTATATACCTTCAGATTTTACCAAATGACCTACTAATGTCCTAATGTTCTTCTTAGCAAAAGGTAAATTTTTTTTTTTTGGATCACATATTGTTATATTATCCCTCACAGTTTCTTCTTATCTGGTTATGTTACATATTGCTAACCTCTCCTAATCTGGAACAGTTTCCTTTCTTTTTAATGACCTTGACATTTTTGAAGAGTACAGACTAATGAGTAGAATGTTAATTTGGAGTCATTGGTATTTTTGACTTTTTTTTTTTTTGGCTTTATCCAGTGAGGAAATTTTACTTTAATAAAAATCTCTGTGTTGGCGTAGTTGTAAAAGTAGGTATTCTGCCCCCTGTATTAGATTTGTGACATGTTTGCTACATATATCTGGCTTCCTGCTTAAATCTTTCCTTCTTTTTACCTTTTAGAAACACCAAAGTCTTGTTCTAAGTCTTCTAAAAATTCCACTCCAGTTCCTTCAAAGCAGTCAGCTAGGTGGCAAGTTGCAAAAGAACTTTATCAGACTGAAAGTAATTATGTAAATATATTGGCCACAATTATTCAGGTAAGAGTTTGTTGCAAAATGATTTCTGTTTCAGTGTTCCTGAGTAAAAGATCTAAGAGATGTTACTTCTTGCAAGAAAATTATATGAGCAGAGAATGTGTGTGTGTGTGTGTTGATTTAAAAATAATTTTTGATTTCAGTAACATTGGTTTGCATCATTGCATATGTTTTAAGAGTACAGTTTCATACCTCTTCATATGTATATTGTCACACCACTCCCACCACCAAAGTCCAATAGCTCTCTACCACAGTCTGTTGTACCCATGAGCATCGTGAACATGGGAATTAAAGATGGAAAGGTGTTTAAAAAACAGCTATTAAGGCAATACCAAAATGGTAATTGTTTTTATTTATGCTGAAATGACACTAATTTTTATAGGCTTTATAGCAAAGAATGCTCAAAAGATGATCTTTTATGAGGACTGAGTTAATTCAGATTTAGTCAAGATACTCCTTTCTCATATTTACATTGGGAAATGGTAAATAACTTTCTGAAGGTGTATGTTCTAGAGCCATTGTTTTATTTGGTATCATACATATATAAAAAAGAAATAGCAGTGAAGCATAACAGTATGTATATCAGTAAATTTTTTCAGTAATCCTTTGGTGTACAGATTTTCTTAGAGTATACAATGGTTTGCTATATAAACTTTATTAACTCACTACTTACACATATTAAAATGTACTATAAAGTTATTTCTGAAGAAAATCAATCCTAGTGAATCCTTGCAGGGTAAGATTGAAGAAGGTCGTACAGAATAAGCTGAATTCAAGAGTCTGAAAGACAGTGAATAATGGGACATTATTTTGATATCTATTGAAAGAAGGAATTCATTTATTTTAAGTAATGGAGATATTCAAGAAAATAAAGTTATCACCAAGCTTTTCTTTGATTAGAAAAATAAGGGAGTTTCTAATTTAGGTTTAATTTTTGACTGACCTCTGTTTGAATTTTTAATATAGCTCATTAGGGTCCAATTTTATAGCGTTTGGTTGCTTGTACCATTTATGAAATGCATGGATAAGAAATGGAAAACTTATTTCTGGTAGGCATGAACAGATTATTCTTTCAAGTTAATTTTTGTAGCAGTAGTCAAGGTTTTATGAGACTTTGCTATATTTGGCTTTACTCTTTTAATTCAGCTTTCCCATTCCTCAAGGGAAATCATCATAGATGAGGTTCTTGTTGAAACTTTTATATTTACCCAAAATATAGTTGAGTAGCAGGAAATCCCTTTAGCATATACTGTTAATGTACTTTGGTAGCATTTATTAGCTAGAACTCTGAATCTTTAGAGGTGATGGTAAATGCACTGATGTTTCAGAATTCTAGTTTGCATGTCAATTAAAGTCACTAAGACTTTTTTAAAATCTCTTGCAATTAAACTGTAGGCAAAGTTTCTTTCATACCATTTTGTTTAGTATAAAGGTTTTATTTAAAAGATTGTGGTTTTATTTAATTCACATAAGGTTTTATTTAAAAGATTGTGGTTTAAATTCATAATAGTGTTCTCTTTAAGCTTTGTTTTAAAACTGATATGTTCTTTTACTTATGAAATTTGGTTTAGAATAACTTAATTTTAACCGAGCTCACAAGTTAAGTGAATATCCAGAAGCTTCTTAATTCCATTTAATACTTGCTTTTTAATATAAAGCATTGTGCCAGGTGTTAAGGAGGATTCCTGTTTTAAAGGAGTTTAAACTGGAAGAGGAGATAAAACATGCCTAATTATAACACCAAGTGGAAGGCTATGAGCATCATGAGGGAGATTTAGAAAGGTATTTGGAGCTTTGTGAGGTGACAGTTACTATTCTTCCAGCTTAAGAAAGATGGTTGAACATTGGATAAAGCGTAATAAAGAAAAAATTGAAGTGAAATTTAAAATATGGGTATGATTGGTATGGAAAGTATATTTGAGATTATGAAAACAATACAGATAATTGAAGATGTGTGTCATTTAAAATATTGTGAATAGTTCAAAGGGGATTAAAGTGAGGATAGTGTGGATTAAGAGGATCAATGTAGGATGTAGAGTTTGAATACAGAGGTAGTTAAGACTGCCTGTGCCAGATCAGTGAAGGCCTTGGAAAGTATGCTTTGTCATTCATAAGCTGTAGAAGAATTTTTGTTGGGAAGGAGAAGATGATATTATCTGACTTGCATTTGAGAAAGATAACTTCACTTTGAAGGAGGTATTGAAGAGGGGAAATTGTGGGGGCAAGGAGTCAATTTAGGATTTATTTCAGCAGTCTGGGTTATAGAGTTTGAGTACTTGTACCTCTTAGGACAGTGAAATTGAAGAGGATGGATTTGAGAAATGCTGGAAAAATAGAATCCATAGTTTTTGGCTACCTAATTTATAAGGGAGATTAAAGCAAACTCAGTAGAACTGTTAAGAAAGATAGTTCATCATGTCTTAACACTACTGAAAGATTTCAATGAACCTTGCTGTTTTTTTGTTGTTTTTAACTTTTGTTTAGGATTATTAATTAAATGGTGACTAGATGAAAGGATGTTTATAAATGCTTACAAATATCTTTGTGTATCTATTTGTATTTTTCTCCAATGCCATTCCTTTCCCTTCCCTCAGAGATAATCTTCTTGAATTTTGTGCTTATCATTTTCCTTATAGTGCTATCATGTTTGTGTAGGAAAACACACTATATAAATATAAAACTTTTATATTTTTTTAGTGACTTCTTGTTTTCTTTTGATGTAAGTGTTCTTGAGACAAATGTGTGTCATTTGTAATTCATTTTCCTATATAAATATATGGTTTATTTAACTTATTTCTAGTGGACTTGGAGTTATTTTGTTTTAGTGCTTTCTGGTTTTTCCACTGTTAGTGCTGTTGTGAATATTCCTATTCATGTTTCTCTGAGAACATACTATGGGTAAAAACCTGGAATTTCTTGGTTATAGGTTATATATATTTTTAACTTTTCTGGAATCTGGTAGTAGGTTTTACACTCATCTTCTGAGCCCATTGAGGCTTTTTATAATTTAGGCAAATGTCCTTGGGAAAAGTTGGATTCTGTACTAAACTCCATACTTTTATTTAGATTTTGGCTTCTGAGGGCATCTCACTTCTCACTTTTTTGATATATTTAGAAAGGGATTTTCTTGCGTATTTTTAGTTGATTTCAACAGCTGGAGTTCACTGTTACTTAGAGAAATGGAAGTCCTGAATGTGTGTTTTTTTTAAACTTCATACTTTTTAAAAAAATGTTACTTAGAATTTTTTGTTTAGGTCTATGATTCATTTTGAGTTAAATTTTGTATAAATGTTACATTTAGTCTGAGTTTCACTTTTTTGCCTGGAAGATGGTGTTCTAGTACCACTAGCTGAAAGACTTTCTTATCACTTCCTCTATTTGAATTACTTTTGCCATGTTTGCAAAGATTTGTTTCTAGATTTTGTTTGATTGACCTTGCATGTTTCTCCTTTCATCAGTACCATACAGGCTTGAATACTGCAGCTTTATTATTAGAAGTTTTCTGTATTTCCATATAAATTTTTACAATCGCATTTTCTTTGTCTTTAAACAATCCTGGAAGTATTGACATTATCCATAGACTGGTTTGAGGGAGAGTTGATCTTATTGTGTTGAGTCTTTCAGTCCATGATCATTTCTTCATTTATTTAGGTCTTCTTTGATTTCTTTCGTTAGAATTTTTTAGTTTTTAATATCATGTACATTTTAAAATTATAATTAAATCAGTTTTTTATTAAAAATGATATTACTTTTATATGTGTGGCTTTCCATTGGAACATTATTGGTATATAGAAAATTGTGTGTTTGTGTGCATGCGTGCATGCATGTGCTGACTTTGTGTCTTGTGATCTTGCTAAACTTTGTAGTTGGAGGAATTTTTTTCCATTCATTTTTCTTTTAAATTGATAAAAATATCAACATGGATACAGGCAGGTCTTTTAACGTAAAAACCAGTCTCTTCTCCTAAACCAAGTTTCTTCACTACCATTTCAAAACATTTAGCATTTTTATTAAATGTATGTCTGGAAATAACTTTATTTTCTTCCTTACTAATTTCAATGAAGAAGTAAAAATTAGTTTTTACTAATCATTAGTTTTTACTAATCTTCAATGAAGAAGTAAAAAACAGTTTTATTGAAGAACTGGTGGTGTTACTAGATTCTAACAACATAAAAAAATTAAAAAATGATAACATTATAATAGTATATATACACAAATGTGTCAATAAATAGAATATAATAGATTTGAATATGTTATGAAAATGTCTAAAATTTGAGGGTTTTTTTAACTAATTTCTTTTCCACCAATATTTCATCTCCTTTATCATTATCTGTATATAGCTTTTTTGTCTCCTTTCCCCCAGTTTATCTAACTACTCTTTTATTTCTTCTAGTTATTTCAAGTTCCGTTGGAAGAGGAAGGACAACGTGGTGGGCCTATTCTTGCACCAGAAGAGATTAAGACCATTTTTGGGAGTATTCCAGATATCTTTGATGTACACACTAAGATAAAGGTAAATTTGTAGATGGTAGATTGGTAGTAATTCTTTTGCATTGTGTATGTTATAACTTTTAAACTACTTCTAATTAGGTAATACGTGTTGTTTTGAAAGATAAAACTTATTACTCCCTCATATGTTTCTTTGAATCATTTTTTCCTTTCCTTCCTTGAAAGTGTTTGTTTGCCTATTTTTTTGATTTTGACTGATCCTGAGAATGAGGAGCTAAGGTGTTATAAAGTTGTCTCTGAGGAGATATGTGGTGGCTGCAACTATTTTGTTACTTTCCTACTGTTGTTCTCCTCAGGTTGTAGGTTTTGTTTTGCTTTGGGTTGTTTGAAAAACTGAGATTGAAAGGACCATAGAGATTATAAGTGCCAAAAGAAGACAGTGCTGTTTTCTTCTTAATGATTTTCTTTTGATGAAGGGTCAGTGATTTCCAGCAGTTTCTAATAGTAAAGTAACTTAGTGGTGGGTTTAGCTGAACTCTTCAATGTAATTTAGCTTCACTGCCTCTTTTTCTTATGTTTTGCTTAGCAAAATTGATCCATTTTCTCTTCAAAGCAATCCATATTAATTTTTATTTCATATTTCAATATAAAGATATGACTTTTTTCAAATAAGACATTAAATTACTTATTACTACACTTTATAAACAAAAATATAAAGAATCTATAAATAAAAGTGCAGTTCATCAAATGCTTGTAGTTTGTCAGAAGCCTTTATTGTGTTTTAGTTATTTCTAATCTAAAGGGATCGCTGAAGGAATCTTTTATTTTCTTACAATGTTTAAAAAGCTATAGAATTTCAGGCTAGTTTAGATTTATTTCTAGTTAAGGGTCATGAACATTTGAAGAGAAAAATATTCTTGGAATATCTTTTATTTCATAAGTTTCACTGAAAGTCATAAAAGTAGAGTAGGTCATAAAATTTAAGTAGGTTTTGATCTTGGTGTCTAGTCACTAATTTGTGGACCAATTTGAATATGTGTCATTTAGCCAGTCTAGGTATGCAAGTTTCCTTCCTATAGAAAATGTTACACTGAGAATCATAATGTCAGTTCAGAAAAGCTTTTTCTCTGATTCATTCAAACTTTGAAAATGATTGTCACCCTTTAGTTTTCTTACGTGTAACAAATTTTTAAGCTTCTGTAAAGTTCGATTACCGGTATTTCAATTATCATTTGTATTTTAGCTACTTTCATATTTGTCACACTTTAAAAAATTTCAAAGCTTGTCTTCTTTTCTACCATGCAACCCTTTGCATTGTCAAACATTTGTAAAATTGTGGAAAAAAAAGAAAAAGAGTAGAAAATACCAGTGATCCCATCACCCAAATACTCCTAATGTTTTGTTGTCTTTTTTACACATATGCTTTTTCCCCCCCCCCCTCCTTTTAAATGTTAGCCAGTGGGCCTCTGTGGTGGTGCAAGGGATTAAGCTGCAGCATTATGAAGCTATCCGCAGCTACTGCAGCATGAGTTCGATTCCTGGCCAGGGAGCTGACCCACATGGCCTATCAGACCTCTTTTCTCTCGCCTGCTGCTCCCCTCAGCAATGTATTTCGGTCAGTCCACCTGTCTGCTCCCCACTCTGTCTCTGGTGAGTCCTCTCACCCCCTGCCCCTGCACCTCTGGCCTGTACCCCAGTTCTTGTATGCATAAATAAATAATTCTTAAAAAAAAAAAAAGTAGCTAGTTATCTGTCAAGTCCTGACATGTATATTGAGCACTACCAAAGAGTTGTTATTTTTGTCCACATTTTACAGATGTGAAACAGCTAAACTGACCACAAATTTTTTTTTAAAGATGTATTTTTATTTATTTATGCATACAATAACTGGGGTGTAGACCAGAGGTTGGGGGTGGGAGGTTGTGTGTGAGAGGATTCACCAGAGAGAGAGAGGGGAGCAGAGCAGGTGGATGCACTGAAATCCACTGTGGTGGGGAGCAGTGGACAAGATAGGAGAGGTCTGCTGTGCCATGTGGGTTAGTTTCCTGGCTGGGGATCGAACTCAGGCCTCAGTGACTGGTGATAGCTTGATACCTTGATAGCGCTGAGACTTTAACAAACCCTGTGCCATCAGGGAGGCCAGGGAACAAAAATTTTTCCAAATGCAGCCATCTAATAAATGCAAGAGCTAGGATTTTAACCCTTGTTTGTCTAACTTCAAGGTCTGTTTTCTTAAATCCATTGTTATGTTGTTTCTTCTCTTTTCTTTTGATATGTCAATATATTGGCAGGATATACAACTTTGTATTAGTTTTAAGTATAGAGCATAATGGTTTGAAATATGTATATATTACAAAATAATTATCACTATAAATTTAGTCAACATTTATCACCACCTTGTTACAATTCTTTTTCCTTGTGATGAGAACTTTTAACATCTATGTTTTTCTACTGTACAGTACAATTAACTATGATCATAATGCTGTACATTATACCTCTATGACTTAATTATCTTATAACTGGTAGTTTGTACCTTTTGACTTTCATTTCTTTCTCCTACTGTGACCCTGCCCTCCTTTGGCAACTAACAGTCTGTTCTCTATATTTGAAGTTGATCTTTTATTTGTTTGTCAGAGCCCATATTTAAGTTAGATCATGTGATATTTGTTTTTCCTCTGTCTGACTTATATCACATAACACTCTCTGCATTCACTGATGTTGGCACAGATGTTATAATTTCCTTTTTTAAATCGCTGAATAATGTTCCATTTTATGCAAGTATGTGCTGCATAACAACATTTTAGACACCCACCATACATATGTTGGTGGTACATATATGTAGCCTGGATGTATAGGCTAACTATCTAAATTGGTGCAGTTTTACTTTGTGATATTCACATAACTATAAATTCTCCTAATAATGCATTTCTCAGAATATCCTCTTCTCATTTAGTGGCACATAACTTTATACCATCTTCTTTTTATCCATCAGTGAACACTTAAGTTCTTTCCTTGTCTTAGCTGTCAGTGATACACTATTGCTTCTTGATCATGCTGTAAACAAGTAATCTGTAAATGTATCAAATTTGTACTTTTTCATATCCCACCTCTACAGCATTTCTAAAAACTACCAACGTCAGTATTTATAGTATCATATAGTGGTTAAGGATATGGACAATGGAATAAAACAATTTTGGTATGGTGTTAGGTGGCTTTATCTTCAACTTTCTTACCTAAAATAGGAGTAATAGTATGGGTGGTTATAAACTTTTAAAAAAATGTTTATATACATTACTAAACATAGTGCCTGACACTGAACATTAAATAATGCCTTTCATATTAATAATAAACTAAATTCAAAATTTGAGTAATGTTCAGAAGTTTTATGAAGGTTTAGAACTGTTTTTTACCTGTAGGTTTCTGGCTGTTAATGTTTGCTGAATGATGGTCATGTTACTTTGAAATATGAGAGTATTTCACTGGGATTCAGTGCATTTCCTCATCTAGACTTTATGTGGACACTTTTAGACTTTCCTCCAAGAACTGATGTGCTGATACTTAGGTTAGATGAGAATTTTTTTTTTTTTTAAAGATTTGTTTATTTATGCATACAAGTACTGGGGTGTAGGCCAGAGTTTGGGGGGTGTGTGTGAGAAAGGATTCACTAGAGACAGTGTGGGGAGTAGAGCAGGTGCATGCACTAATCCACTGTGGAGGGGAGCAGTGGACAAGACAGGAGAGGTCTGCTGTGCCATGTGGGTAGCTCCCTGGCTGGCTTTGGATCGAACTTGTGTTGCAGAGGCTGTGCATAGCTTCACAGAGCTGTGCTTAACCCTTTGTATCACAAGGGAAGCCCCAAGATGATGCTTTTTGAAGTTAGTAACATTTGTCTTTTCCTGTGTGCACATTTTTCCTTTTCAGTACTAGTCAACACTGATTCTCGATGTGCAAATGCCTACTTTTATATGGAATTAAGATGAAAATAATAAGAAGGCATTGGTGGGAGTACTTTTTATTACTATGTTTATCTTTTGTTAATTTAGTGTGAATCTCAAGGTACCTTCTTGTTTAAGGAACAGATATACTGGGGAATCTGACAGTTTGTTCCGTTGTGCAGTGAACTTGGGGAACTACACTGCCAGTCTGATTCTCTATTTTTGTTGAGGAATTGTAGTATACATCAAATGGAATCTGGAGTCAAATCTGAATTTGAATATTGGTTCATGACTGTGATTTGGGGCAAAGTACTTAAATCATTGTAAGCCTTTTCCTCTGTTACTTAGTTCTAAGCAGGCAGTTGATTAAGGCAGAAATCTTTGGTCAGCAAATATTAGGAATTAAATGTTACCCAGAAACAGAGTAGACTGTTTTTTATAGTACCTACAGAATGTTTTGCCATCTGTGAGCATTGTTCTTACATAATTATATACAGCCATCCTGTATGTTTACACTTTAAAGCTTACCACAGGGTTATGTGTTAGAGCCAAAAGTTTTTTCTGTATTCCATCACAGTTTTCCAAATATCCTCTCTACTCTAAATACATAGTAAAATATAGCTAATAATAGGTTATTGAACACTACCTTTTAGGGATGCTTCTAAGTGCTATATAGCTATGTAAGTATTAACTAATTAAGGGGCTTCCCTCCTGACTCAGGGGGTTAAGTCTCAGCACTATGAAGTTATCCAAAGCCACTGCAGCATGAGTTCAATCCCCAGCCAAGGAGCTAACCCACATGGTGTAGCAGACCTCTCCTGTCTCTCCTGCTGCTCCACTAAGCAGTGTATTTCAGTCAATCTACCTGTTCTGCTCCCCACTCTGTCTCTGGTGAATACGCTCTTCACCTGCCCTTCTGGTCTGTACCCCAGGTCTTGTATGCATAAATAAATAAATATTTTTTAAAAATAAGTATTAACTAATTTAATCATTATTTCAGATAGTAAAATATTGTTTCTTTTAGGCTGATATAATACTTTTACTTAGAGTTCCTTTTTATGCTATTGGAAATAATTTTTCCCCCTTAGGAACTTTTCTGAATTTGCTAGCATATGACAGTGGTTCTTGAATTATTTGGTCTCAGGATTACCTTACACTCTTTAAAATTATTGAAGAACCTTTGTTTATGTGGGATTTATCAATCATTATTAACTGTATTGAAATTTTAAAAATAAAGTATTTTTAAAGATGCATCAATTTTTTAAACGTTATTGAGGTACATTTTACATGTCTTTACACATTAATTTATTTCAAATATATAATTCATTGCTTTTAATAACTTTTAACAAGTGATTTAACTATCACTATAAATCTATTATATTACATTTCCATCCCTCCCAATATGATTTTTTTAAAGATTCATTTATTTATTTATTTATACAAGCGCTGGGTACAGTCAGAAGCACAGGAGGGCGAGAGAATTCACCAGAGCTAGAGCGGGGAGCAGAGCAGGCAGAAGGATGGAAGGACACTGCTGAGGGGAGCAGCGGGCAGCAGGAGAGGTCTGCGCTCCATGCGGGACCCTGCTTCAGTGGCCGGGGAGCAGCTGGGGATCGAACCGGCGCTGCAAAGGCTGTGGGCAGCTTTGCAACCCAACGCTCAACTGCTGCGCCACCGGGAGGCCCCAATATGATTTTTTTATGCCCATTTATAGTTCATCTCCATCTTGGTCCTACTCGAGACAATCACTGGACTATTTTCTGTCTCTATGAATTTACCTTTTTTTTGAATTTCAAATTGTACTATGTGGTGTCTTATATGAGACTTCATTCACTTAGCATGTTTTTGAATTTCGTTTATGGATGTAGGTTCACATTTCTCCACATTGTTGTTTTTTAATCTTTTTTTTTTTTTTTTTAAAAGATTTATTCATGCATACAAGAACCAGGGTACAGGCCAGATGTGTGGGAGGGTGAGAGGATTCACCAGAGACAGAGAGGGGAACAGAGCAGGCAGACTGACTGAAATACACTGAGGGGAGCAGTGGGCGAATCAGGAGCGGTCTGCCATGCCATGTGGGTATCTGTCTCTGGCTGGCCTGGATGGAACCCGCACTGCAGAGGCTGCGGACAGCCTCACAGCGCTGCGCTCAACCGCCTGCATCACCAATGAGGCTCTCTCCACATTTTTGTCAGTATACCTTCTTTTTAATAGCCATTTTGTGAAATGAAGCCATATTTCATTGTGATTTTGGTTTGCATTTCCATAGTGATTAGTGATGTTAACTTCTTTCATATACTTACTAGCTATTTGTATAATATCTTTAGTGAAATGCGTGCTTAGATCTGTAGCCCATTTTTTGATTGGGTTGCTTGTTGTCTTAATGGAGTTGTCAGTGTTCTCTTTAAATTCTAGATACAAATGCTTGATCAGTTATGTGTTTTGCTTGTATTTTCTTCCCCACTGTTGTCTTTTCATTTTTTTAATGGTATCTTTAAATTATGTTTTTAATTGTGTTGAGGTCCCATTTATACTTTTTTTCCTTTTATTTACTGTGCTTTTGATGTCATAGAAATTTTTGCCTAGTCCAAGGTTTTGAAGATTTTCTCCTGTGTTTTCTTCTAAAAGTCGTACCATTGCAGCTTTCATACTTAGGGCTATAGCCCATTTTCAATTCATTTTTGAGTGAGGTGAGGTTTTAAATTTACCTGTGGATACTTTGAGAGCATCTGAAATAAGAGGCTCTACTTATTGATTTCTACTTGTTTTATAACATATAGATGGTGTACCAACTTACATCGATGTCTGTTTATATTACATTATTCTTTTGCCAAAAGTTCAATTTCTATCCATCACCATACAATTAACAGCTTTTATTTTACCCACCCCACTTCTCCCTTCTGAAAACTATTGTTTTGTTCTTATAGTCTGGGCATTTGTTTTTAATTTGTGTTGTTAGTTTATCTGTCACATGAGTAAAATCATGTGGCATTTGTCTTTCATTTCACTTTGCATAGTGCTCTCCAGGTCCATTCATGTTGTTGCAAATGGCAGAATTTCATTTTTTTTTTATAGTTGCATAATATTTTATTGTGTATATGTCTTATCTTCTTAATCTATTCATCTATAGAGAGACTCTGAGGTCATTTCCAATTCTTGGCTGTTGTGACTAATGTTGCTATTAACATGGAAGTGCGTGTATCTCTTTTTAATTAGTGCTTTCATATTCCTCAAATACCCAGTAGTAGGATAATTGGATCATATGGTCTCGAGGGGTTTTCATCCTATTTTCCATAATAGCTGTACCAGTCTACAGTTCCACCAACAGAAGGGTTCCAGGTTCCCTTTTCTCTGTATGCTCACCTAACACTTGTTGTTTCTTGTCTTTTTTGATTGTAACAGGTGTGAAGTGATACTTCTTTGTGATTTTTGATTTGCATTTCCATAATGATAAGAGATGCTGAACTTCTTTTCATGTGACAAATAAATTTTGAGATAGTGATTGAAGAGTTTTGTTCACCTGGATTAGCAAACTATGATCAATGGACCAAATCCACCCAGTTTTAGGATTTGGATAAAGTTTTGCTGATATTAGTAAAGAAAGTTTTATTGGCACACAGCCACAGTTAATAGTTAATGTCTGTTGCTACTTCCACTCTGTAGAGACACTTACGACAGAAACCCTATGGCCTACAAACCTTAACATATTTACCATCTGCTCCTTTAAAGTTTGCTGACCTCTGTGATAAGTTTCCAGTGACTGATGTTAAATAAGATGCTTCAACAGCTGTTTTGAAACTAGTTTCTATAATTAATAATACCAAATAAGCCTTATATTAATAGTTAGTAAGATGTTGAACTATCCCATCATATTGAGAAGTTAGACTTTGTTATTAACTTGATATATTATGTTTATTTTCCTAATATTTTGAATGTTTTTTCCATTGTGAAAAATCTGATTCTTTATTGAGGAGAAAAAATGTGTTATTGTTTTGCATATCAAATTAAGACACTTTAAATCCCACTTTCAAATGAATGTTTTGAAAAGTATAAAAAGATAGTCAGGGAACCATCAAGTTCACAAGTATTTTGATTTGTATTCTTTCAGGATGACCTTGAAGACCTTATTGTTAATTGGGACGAGAGCAAAAGCATTGGTGACATCTTTCTTAAATATGTAAGTATTTTTTCTTTAAGTTTTTGGATTCAAGTATTTGATTAGGGACTGGCGCGGAATGAAAATTATCTCTTTAAATGAGAGAGTGTAAAACTTTGACATAGTTGTATTTGTAAAATACATTGGCAATGTTCTTGTCTTATGAAATGTGCTTTTTATATATAGTTGAATCCTTTCTTTATAACCCTAGGTCATTAAGAACACTAATTTTACATACCCAGTTATTTGCTCTTCAAAAATGGCCAGAGATGATTTTTTTGAAATTTTCTGTAATTTTTAATTCTTCTCTCAGTTGACTGTTTGCTCTGTACAGAAATTCTAAGGAACTGCCATATCTTTAATAGGATAAGAATCATATAGCTTAAGTTTATCAAATAAAGTAAATTCATTTTGAAGAAGTGCTGTGAATAGGATTTGTAAGTTTCAGTCAGTGCCTTAGTTTGTGGGACATTTACTCTGTTTTCAGTGACCTTCAATTTCCTTGTATACATCTCTTAGATTTTTTATTTTGGTGGGCTTAGAAGTCCAAATATATCAGTTATTGTAACATATGTTCTTGATACCTCAGAGTCTACTTAATTAGTAATTAGCAAAGACATTTTCCTTTTTTTTTTTTTTTGGATTCACTTTATTGGGTAGTATAATAGGTTTTTAAATAGTGGTTTGGATCCTTTAATAATAACATGTTTTTGTGTGCTCATAAATCAACTCTTCTAATTACCATATTATGAACTCAGTGATTTTAGAACTTTACCATGCTTGTATCAATACTTTAATACATTTTTATTTTTCTCTGAATTTTTTGCTTTTCAGGTTTAGACTGTGTACTAGTTATTCTCTTTAGCAGTTAACTCTTTATTGAGAATTTTATTTTAAAAAATTCTGCATTTAACTTGAGCAGAAATTTATTTTAAACTTTTCTTTGCATCTAGTCTCAGGTTATGCCTACTGATTATTCAGCCTTAAAATTTCATTATCTGAAGGTGGCATGCATAACAAATTATTTCTTTTTTCTTATTCTTAGTCAAAAGATTTGGTAAAAACCTATCCTCCCTTTGTAAACTTCTTTGAGATGAGCAAGGAAACAATTATTAAATGTGAAAAACAGAAACCAAGATTTCATGCTTTTCTGAAGGTAATATATTTTTCTTTCAATTGGAAATTTATGAATAGTTTTTGAAGAAGTTAATTAAAATTACAAAGAATTAAGTAAATACTGTCAGTAAAAATATATCCATGTGGGAACACCTTAATGTTATCTGTTAATTTTAGTTGTTTGGTGTCAGTGATGGTTAACTTCAGAAAATTTGATGACATATTAAGTAGCAGGGTACAAAAGACTTCTGAGAGAATGAGAATGTTGTATATGGTTATTATTATGTTATTATTTTTTAAGTTATACACCAAAAATTTACAGTGAAATATTGTTTGACTTTAATGATTTCCTCCCTCCCCCAACAGTGTCTTGCTTTTTTTATCCCATGGTATCAGACTTAAGAGAAACCTAAAATGAAATATTTATGGAGTGTGTAGAGGAACTCGCTGTTTAAGATGTTAACTCTTGGCTAGTTAGTAGATCGTTTCAGGCCTTGGAAGATTATTCACCCACAGTAATTTGCCAGAAAACAGCCACCATCTCATTTATCGTATTTGTTCTTATTGAACACTTCTTGTGGGGGTGTTATCTAATAAATGTAGGGTATCTGATCTTTGCAGAAAACCTTTTTTTTTAATCATTGAATAAATTTATCCTTTTCAGATAAACCAAGCTAAACCAGAATGTGGACGACAGAGCCTTGTTGAACTTCTCATTCGACCAGTACAGAGGTTACCAAGTGTTGTGTTACTTTTAAATGGTACTTATCTTATGTGTTTGCTGGCATTTGACTGTGTTTGTGGAGTTGTTTTGTTCTAAAAAGGTTGAAATTCTCATTTTCACAGATTTCAACATTAAAATTTATCTTACATTTTAGTATCTTTATGGATAATTTTAATCACTGGTGCTATAAAGTCTAAAGTGCTTTATTTGTTCTGATATCAGTTATATTTTCTAGTATTATACTTTATGTCTCTGCACTGAGTCTTACTAAATTTTGTGCTGTGTCACTAATTCAGAATCAGTTTACATCTGTGTAAATACAGAATTCACCCACAGAATTACAACATGAAATGTGATTCAATTGTCTCAAGTTATTTAGTCCTTTTTCTGAATTTTAGTAAAGTTATTTATACTTGGGCTTATGCTACTTTACCCCCTTAGGTTGTGCAGAAAACTATTGCAGTGACCATAACATTTATTTTAGAGCTTATACTACAGATTTGGTAATGGAGGAAAGTTTCACAGCAGAGTATTAATTTTTATTAATTAACTTCGCAGTGAAGTAAAGAATATGTGTATGCCTTACATTTAGCTGACTAAAGTAGTGAATATTTTTAGGATAATGTCAGTTTTTATATTTTGAAATTAAGTATGAAAATTAAAAATTATGTAAACAGGAACAATGTAGTAGTAATAAAGCATTTTGATCCTGTACCTTTAATTTTAACTGCAGTAGTATATATAGCAAATAAGGAGGCTAATTTTGTAACTGTTAGAGATCTGTTGTTTTCTTTAAAATATTTTGGTTAATGTATGAATTACAGTACTAACTTAAAAATGTGATTATTCTTAAGGTTATCTAATGGATTTTAGAATTATTACCTTATAAATTGATTTCTCATCTTTAAAAGCTATGCTGTTTTACAGATTTAAAGAGAATATATAAACAAAGAAACCTTTATTTCTTTTTTACCATTGTAGCTTATTTTTTCTTAAATTGCTGTTCATTTTTGTATAGACATTTGATTTCTCCCCTCAGGTGTAATCTCCATAAAACTCCCACCCATTATATCACCTGTGAACTGACACCATAGTTCCTTGTGCTCTTCTCTCCTGTTTTGACCCCTTTTTGTCTCCCTCACCTGCTATTTGTCTCAGATTTATAATTTGCTAATAGTTTTGTCTTTTTTTTTTTTTTTCCTGACCCCTTGTTCGGTTTCCCTATATTCCTCCTGTAAGTGAAACCATTCAATATTTTTCTTCTTCCTTATTACTTATTTCACTGGGCATAATCCCTTCTAGCTCCATCCATATTGCTGCAAATGACATGAGTTTATCTTTTTTGATTGCTGGGTAGTATTCCACTGTGTATATATACCACACCTTTTTTAAAAAAAAAAAGATTTATTTATTTATGCATATGAGACCTGGGCTACAGGCCAGAGGTATGGGGTGGGGGGCGATGGTGAGAGAATTAACCAGAGACATTGGGAAACAGAATAGGTGGATTGTTTGAAATACACTCTTGAGAGGCAGCAGCAGGTGAGACAGGAAAGGTCTGCTTCACCATGTGGGTTAGCTCTCTGGCCAGGGATTGAACTTGTGCTGCAGTGGCTTTGGATAGCTTCATAGTGCTGAGACTTAACCCCTTGTGACACCAGGGATGCCCCCTATGCCACATCTTTTCTTTTTTTAATTTATTTTATTTATGCATACAAAAACTAGGGTGTAGGTAAGAGATATGGAGCGGGGAGAGGATTCACCAGAGACAGAGTGGGAGCAGAACAGGTGGCTCTATGGAAATATGCTGCTGAGGGGAGCAGTGGGTAAGACAGGAGAAGTCTGCTGCACCATGTGGGTTAGTTGGTGCAGCAGACCTCTGGGGATCGAACTCATGCCGCAGTGGCGATAGCTTGATAGCACTGAGACTTTAACCCCTGTGCCACCAGGGAGACCCTATACCACATCTTCTTGATCCAGTCATCTAAACAAAGAAATCTTTCAACTTTACAGAGTAGAGTGGGTTTTTCTCCCTTATTATCTTCTTTATCGTTCCATTAAGTACTGGTAGAATTCCATTAAAAAATGTTGCCATGATTAAAATGAATACCATGTATAAGTGTTTGTTCTAGCCTTTGAAAAGATTAGGTGGACATGGTACTAGAGAGCCATTAGGTGGACTATGGCATAGAGAACATTATAAAAGAACCTGGAGAAGAAGAGTCAGAGTATAAGCATCTCATGAAGTTGTACCTACACTAAACAAAATCTGCTCTTAAGAGCACTGAATGCTCTCTGTGTTGGAGCCACGGGCTTCAATATAAAATATGACATACCTGATTTTTCAGCTGTTTGAGGATCATGTATTTTCATTCAACATATATAGAATGTGAGGAGTCTGTAAGTTTCCACACTTTACTGGAAGAAAATTAGAACAGTCATGTAAGAAAACCTGTGTATTTTATATATATATATATAAAATATATATTACACATAGTATATATATGTTTCATGTTCTGAAATTACATATATATTCTGAAAATTTAGTCATAAATGATGTGGAAACATTAACAAATGTGTTAGGACAGAATTACTAAGGGAACAATGAATAAAATTTGCTTAAATGTTAGATACTATCTTTGAAAATTAATCAGCCTGTATCTGTCAAAATGGACAGCATTTTCTGCTTTTGTTTTATTTTTAAGTCTTAGATGGAAAACTACTGAATTTCTTGTAATCATGGAAAGAACGTTTTATCATTACAGATCTTAAGAAGCATACAGCTGAAGAAAATCCTGACAAATGTACTTTAGAAAAAGCTATTGAATCACTAAAGGAGGTCATGACGTAAGTGAATTATTTCAATATTTACTATTCTAAGATTTAGAATGGAATTGATAGCCATAAATGGAAAGAAAAATATCAGTAGCAAATTTTTGTAAGATAATACTGAAATTATTTTTCTAATAGTGTAGCTATTAAAATAAGAGAAGTATTTTAAGAAAACATTAATCAAAAATAGCTGCAAATATTAAACTATGATGCATAGAGACTAAAATGATTTAAAAAATCTGAATATATTATAGATGCACTAATAAATATTCAGAACTTCCACCCCTAACCCCCTGTTCATGTAAGCAATTCAAATATAACTTGGGATTTTGGCCACGGTAAAATGAAAAGCTTTATAGTATTTTTTTACTTTTTTTTCAAAAAAAAATTTTTATTTATTTATTTATGCATACAAGAACTAAGGTACAGGCCAGAGGTGCAAGGGGTGAGAGGATTCACCAGAGACAGAGTGGGTAACAGAACAGGCTAATTGACTGAAATACACTGCTGAGGGGAGCAGTGGGTGAAGCAGGAGGGGTCTGCTGTGCCATGTGGGTAGCTCCCTGGCTGGGGATTGAACTCGTCCTGCAGTGGCTGCGGATAGCTTCATAGTGCTGCAGCTTAGCCCCTTGCACCACCAAGGAGGTCCTACTTTTTATTTCTTACCTTGAATTTTATGAAATTAAACTTAAGAGATTAGTTGGAGATGTATTAAATTTATAAACTCCATGAAACTAATATGGGAAGTTTGATTATTAAATTTAGGCTACCTACTAGCCATCTAAAACATAGTTCTGGTCAGAAATGATCTCTTTAACTATTATGAACAGAAGTGAAAACTCACTATTGGTTGGTTTGGGCTTTGGCGGTCACTTTAAGTCTTAGGACTTCACGTATTAACGTTCAATAGATTTAATTAGGTGATTTCTGAAATTCTATAGGTGCTTATTTTATATGAAATCAAGTTTTTCAAAGTACTTGTAGAAAAGCAGACAATCTTTTAGAAACTTGACTAACTCTAGTGAGAGAAGGTCCAGCACTAAACTAAATGCTTAAGTAGTAAATACCAGCTTCTGTTGGCTTCTGGAAAGTTGGATATTTTGTTTTTTGAACGTATCTTGAATGTTTATCATCCAACCTTCATTTTGATTTGTTATTTTGGGACCAGGACAATAGTTTTCCTCAACACTTTATATTTTAACATACCGTGACACCTTATTTACTTTGATCCTTTCAACAAACTATGAAGCAGTCAGTGTTAACATATTTTCACAAAAGAGAAAAGCAGAGAGGATGTACTTGTCCTATTTACCTGTTTAGTGTGTAGAATACCACTATGGAGTTGATGTTTTTTATTTATGTGTTAACATTTTGGTAAGCAAAATTTATATAGTAATCTTAAGTAGGGAATAGGTTAGTCATTTGACTTACAATAGTGTATAGCTAGGTGTTATAGGGTTAATGAGCTAAATTGGTAAAATAATTGGTATTATTATGTCTTTCACTCCCCACCCCCCAAGATCTAAACTTTCTGAGAATTTTCGTATCTTGCTAATAATCCTTGCTCATAGATTCTCAATAAATGTTGCATGATAGGAGCTACTATTTTAATGTTGAATTGGGTGCTAATTTATAAACCTTACAGAATTTCACCAGTTCTCAATTGAGATTCTTGAACTTTTAGCTTAGAGGTTAAATGCTTATTATGGTTAATTGAAGCAACCGTAGTCTGTCAGGTAAAGGAGATAATGAGAAACCACCAATTAACTAGTCCTTGCTATTTAAGCAAACCAAGAAACCTAAAATCGGAGCGCTACTTTAGTTACACATACTTAGCTTATCAACATTAATTTGTCGCAGACAATGTAGTAAGAGCCTCACTGTGCATGTTTGCGTGTGCATGTGTTTACACATTTAAAATAGTTTAATTTTTACATACACACACTCCTATAAAACCATCACCACTCAAGATAAAGAACATTTCTTTCCCCTTCAAAAGTTCACTTTTGCCTTTTGGTAATCTTTTTTTCCTACCTCTCCCTGTCTCACCTATCTCAGGGCAATAAATGCTCTTCTTTATAGTACTATAACTTGCAAATTGTAGCATTTTATCTAAATGGACTCAGAATTTTCTCTTTTGTCTAGGAGTTTTTACTCAGCACAATTATTTTGTGATTTGTCCTTGTTTCTAATGCCAATAGTTCATTCCCATTGTTTTCATTTGTTTGGTTATACCACCATTTATTTACCCTTCATATGTTGCTATACATTTTGAATGTTTCCAGTTTTGCAAAGAGAAACTGCTTACAAATAAAGCTGCACTCATAGCGTATGTTTTCATTTCTGTTGGATGAATTCCTAGGAATACTAATGATTAGGGTCTCATTGTAGGCATAAGTATGACTTTGTAAAAAAATTGCCAAGCTATTTCCAAAGTGGTTATACTATTTTACATTACCACCAAAAGTGAATATAGTCCATGTCCTTATCAACTCTTAATATGGTCAGTTATTTTAATTTGTGACTAATAGATGTGTAGTGGCATCTCATTGTTTTGACTTACATTTTCCCCAGTAACAAAGGATGGTGAGCATTTTCCTCCTGTGCTTATTTGCCATCCATATTTTCTTTAGCAATATACCTCTTCAAAGTTTTTGTCATTTTTTTAATTTTTTTTTCTGACAACTCCAAGTTTATTTATTTTTTTATTTTACATTCCTTTTTTATTTTTATTTTCCCACAATATAGGGTTTCTTCCCTCAGTGTGGTCATCATAGTTTCCCCACTTCTAAAGCACCCATTGTATTCCACCATAGTCCATTGTGCTCTTCTCCACCCATGTTCTCCTCTCTCTCCCTCCTTCCTGAATGCCTCAAATCTATGGTCTGCTGCAAGAGCCATCTTAAAGTTTGTCTTTGAGCCTTTGTTTGGTTTCTTGTATTCCACATATAAGTGAATCCCTCTGTATCTTTCTCCTTCTGACTTCCTTCACTTAGAACAATCTCTTCCAGCTCCATCCATGCTATAGCAAATGGCATGAGTTTATCTTTTTTGATCAATAAGTAGTAGTCCATTGATAATTCTTTGTATATTCTGATTGAAAAGATTTTCACCAGTATGTGACTATGTGACTCGCAAATATTTTCTTGTAGTCTGTGACTTGCTTTTCTTTAACGGTTTCAAATAGCAGGAGCTGTAGGTTTTTATGAAGTCCAACTTATCAGTGTTGTTTCAAATTCTTAATCTAATTGTCCTGGCTAGACTCTAGTACTGTGTTAAATAGAAATGTAACAACAGATACCTTGACTTCTTACTGATTCTGAGAGGAAAATATTCATTCTTTCACTATTAAGGGTGATGGCAACTGTAGGATTTTTGTAGTTTCCCTTTATTAGGTTGAGGAAGTTCTCATTTTTTTCTTTGTTGAGTATATTTATCATGAAAGGGTATTGGATTTTGTTAAATGCTTACTTAGTCTGTTGAGGTAGTCTTGTGGCTCTTTTCCTTTATTCTATTTATATGTTATATTTCATTAATTGATCTTTGCATTTCAATGCCAGCTTGTATTCTTAGATAAAATCTTATGAGGTCATGGTATATAATCCTTATTATATGTTGCTGAATTCAGATTTTTGTGTTTATATTCATAAAGGATAGCAATCTATAGTTTTCTTACTTGTTTCATGTTGGGCTGTAGTTCCTCTTTACTTTTGGGGGAGACTGAAGAATTGGTATTAATTCTTCAGTTATTTGGCAGAATTCATCAGTGAATCCATTTGGTCTTGGGTTTTTTGTTGTAAGAAATTTTAAAATTACTAATTAAGTTTATTGTTATAGATGTATTCAGATTATCTTCTTGAATGTCTGTGGTTGGTTTCTTTATCAGAATTTGTGTATTCATTTAAGCTATTTCCTAAGTTGATAAATAGTTGTCTTATAATCCACCTTGCTTCTCTAAGGCCTGTAGTGATTTCCTATCTTTTAATCCTAATTTTAGTAGTTTTGTTGATGGAATAGGCTTGGGTTCTGGTGCTCTCTGTCACAATAAAAAGCTAGTGAGTAGAGACAGGAATTGAATCTATAAGAAGCACATTTATTTAGATGGCTGGCCAGTGATCTGAGAATGGTAGACCTATCACCCTGAAGAAATCATTCTGCCATGGTCATTGATCTGAGAAGACAGTGGGAAGAGAAAGACAAAGACAGAGACTGTTGCGGCATCTCATCTTGAGCTGGCTTTTTATAATGACTTAAAGACATAAACAAGCAGTCCATCAGAACATCCCGGTCACAATTGATGTTTCTGGTATTCACATTCAGCCCCCAGAACTTATTACATCTTCCCGTTTATCTTGACCCTGGTACATCTGATGGCTTCAATATCCAGCACTCATTCAGGCATCATGGGGCAGGAATCTTAGTTCAACAAGTAGTTTTTAAAAAAAAAAAAATTATTATTGGTCCTCCCCGGTGGCGCAGCCGTTGAGCGCTGGGTTGCGAAGCTGCCCGCAGCCTCTGCAGCACTGGTTCAATCCCCGGCTGCTCCCCCGGCCACCGAAGCAGAGTCCCACATGGCGCCCAGACCTCTGCTGCCGCCCGCTGCTCCCCTCAGCAGTGTACTTCGGTCCTTCTGCCGGCTCTGCTCCCCGCTCTGGCTCTGGTGAATTCTCTCACCCTCCCGCGCTTCTGACTGTACCCAGTGCATGTATAAATAAATTAAATCTTAAAAAAACAAAAAAAAAGAATAGTACTGGAAAAATGATATTTAAAAAAACAAAACAAAACAGATTATTAGTCATATAATGTGTATATGCAACCTATACTATGTAAGTGCAGATTTCTATACTAGGTGTGGTGCCTTTCCTTTCCTCCCTAGGCCCTATCAATTTTAGCTTTCTTCCTCTCTTTGTCAGCCTACCTAAAGTTTGTCAGCTTTATTGATCTTTTCAGGGAACCACCTTTTGGCATTGTCACTTTTCCTCCATTATTTTTATATCCTCATTAATTTCCAATCTAATCTTTATGATTTCCTTCTATTTATTTTACATTTAGTTATTTTGTGTCTTAAAATAGAAGGCTAGGTTATTGTGTTGAGATCTTTTTCTTGTTATATGCATTTATAATTATAAATGTCCCTAAATGATACTTAGGTTACATTGTTTCTTTATATTTTGATGTTTTTTTTTTTTTCAAGCAGAAGGATATTTCCTTCTTACTCCATTTTGTCTGTGTGCATTAGACTTAGTTTTTGTTTCAATGAAATGATTAAACATAGGACTTGGGAACAACTTGCATAAAACCTCAATTGACTTAGAATTTCTCTCAACCTGGTTTGTACATGTTTATTTTAGAAAGGGTATAACAAATGTAATAAAACATACTTTAATGAAACATTCTATAGATATTTTTAATGTACTGGGATACTTTTAGAGAATATTTTAACTGATTCAATTATCAAAAGTAACAGATTCACATGGAAGGACTTTTGTGACAAGCGATTTAGTTTTCATATTCTGTGATGTTTTAAAAATAACCTGATTGATTTTCAGGCATATTAATGAGGATAAAAGAAAAACAGAAGCACAAAAACAAATTTTTGATGTTGTTTATGAAGTTGATGGATGCCCGGTAAGTATACAGTTTTGATGATTGTAAATTTATTTTTTCTTTGTTGTTATTTAGATTCTACAGTTTTAATATGAATAGACTCTTTATATCATTTTCTCTTAGATTATAACTTTTTAAAAATTATAATAACAAAAGTAATCTTTTGTTATTAATATTTTCAATCTACACAGGCTAATCTTTTGTCTTCTCATCGAAGTTTGGTACAAAGAGTTGAAACAATTTCTCTAGGTGAGCACCCCTGTGACAGAGGAGAACAAGTAACTCTCTTTCTCTTCAATGACTGCCTAGAGGTAAAGTTGTACTTAATATAATTAACATTGCTGATTTGTGTGATTTCTTGAATATTTAAAACCAAACTTTGAAGTATAATATACAAGATCAGAGTAAAATGAACTCAGATAATTGCATGTTTTTCATGAACACCAATTGCTAGGGTTTAATACTGTTAATAAGTTTTAAGAAAGCTTAATATTAAAAAGTATGATAAATTTCCATGTCCTTAAATCCAAGTAGAAATGAAAATTTATTTCCATGCAAATCACTGCTTAGCTTAAGAATCTTAGGGAGCTTCTGTCTATATTTATTAAGATTCACAAAATAATTGTGAAGATTTCTTTTTGAAATTTAAGTAGATTTTTCTAGGAAGGAAAAGTCAATGTTTTAATGAAGATAACTTTGATTATTTAATATTATGACTTAAAAGCCTCTGATTCTAACTTAAGTCACTTGATTTTAGAGTGAGTGAGTTAGTATTTAGATGGGGTGCAGAGATTCTAATTCTGAAATTCTCATCTAAGTTAAAAAATTTTCCCCATCTTGTCCCTGTGGACAACTGACATTTTGTGCTTTTTCAACTCTTTTATAAATCTTTTAATAATGTATCTTTAAGCAACTGTAAACAGTCTAATTGGGGGTGTAAAGGAATATATTTTCCTTCATCTCAGGAGAGAGAGGTGTTCATTTTGCTAAGACAGACATTAGCCAGAAGACTCACTTGATATTCCATAGCTTTTTGTTGGTTTCTTTAAAGTGATTCGATGTGTTACCTTTTTCTTTCATCCTTTTCTACTTTTCTTGAAGTTCTGTTCTCTTTTACCATGTATATTATTAAGATACAAAGGATTCTTAGAGAACAAGCCATTTACAATAGTAGGTGTAATAAAATACCAGAATTACTTGCATTAAATGCAGAGGTTTGTTTTTATGAGATTAATGAAAAGTGATATTTTTATTTAATCATTAATATCACAAAACACAAAAGTGAAAATACTATATCAGTTGATCATACCCTGAACTGAGAAAGCCATAAAAAGTTATGAGGCATATAATTTTGAACTACTTGTCTCTCCATAACAACTTTAGCCTTCTCTGTCTTTGAAAACAGAGGCAAGGTGGAGTCAGTTCTCAGTCATTTTATCTGAATTTGCATTATCATGGGGTTTTACTGTACTTGGTTATTCAGTACTTATTTGTTTGCTTTTTTTTTTCTTTTAGGTTTTTTTTCCTCTTGAAATCCCTAAGACAGCTCCATCTGATAGATTGGGGGTTTTCTGTACTTCCTTGCTAATCTGTTCTGGTTTTTATCTTCTTAATTCTGATGAGAGTTGTGGCTTACTTTATGGTTTTGATCTTATTCCCCCTTCAAATTCTGTGAAGTCTTCTGTAACTGACTTACTGACTTACCTCCACTTTAATTTCTGCCACTGGTCATTCCTTGTAGCTTCCAAATCTATTATGTGATACCCTGGACTCTCCTTTGCTGTCCTGAGTTTGGTCACCTTTTGTTGTACTCTCTTGGCTTTCCCTAGTCTCAGAATCACATTAATTGAAGTGGCTCTATTTCTAAAAATAGCTTTGTACCTCCAGATTAATAATCCTAAACTCTTACTGTAACTTGTTTGTATTTAAAAAAAAAATATTTGGAATGAGGAATATAGTAAAAGAAACATTTTAAGATAGGTAATATTTATAGTGACTTCTCTTAAATTTGATAAGTGATTTTTTTACTGAAATTAAACTAAGGATTTAAGGATATATTTTTCTTTTTATATCTTCTCTGTGTTTTACCTTGATGTATTAGCATTTATGTTATCAATATTAACACCAGTTTCCTTTTTAAAATGAACTTTAATTCATTTATATTGCATAGGAAATTAATTTTAAAGTATATTTCAGGTATTACAGTAGAAACATTTAACAAAGAGCTCTTGCTTAGTTTCATTATACTAATGTAAATGAACGCTTCATATTTGATCGTTCGCATAGGTCTGTGTCATATTTCTGCTTCAGTGTGAATATGATACTAATTGCCCTCTGATCTTTTCTCATTAGCCAACACCAGGTAGTACATTTTCCAGCCATACTTTGTCATATTCATGATGTAACCAATCAATATCAATTCATTAAGTAACTTAATCTAATTCATTTTGTGTTAATGTCTTTCAGTTGATAATTATAAACACAAAAAAGATGTTCTTTTGAAAAGACTAAAGTGGTATCCTAGGCTTTCATGGAAATGAAAACAATATATTTAAAAGATTAAAATTCACAGAACTCAAGTATATCATGAATTGTAAAAGTGCTGTTTTGTTCCTTTCTTTTCCATTGTTAATTTACCTATTGTCTTTTGCATGAGTTCCCAGTTTAGATATAGTTATATGCTGACAGCACCTAGAGTTTATAATTTGCACTATTTGTTTAATCTGTTATTTAGTTCTTTAATCTTCCTCATTCTTAATAATCTTTAAATATGAGAGCCAGAATTATTTCTGTGAGTCACTCCTTAATCCTCAGTGCCTTCCTTACCCAAGAGCTGAGATAATTGTGAGTTCTGCTCTTGAACTGATATCTGTTATCTTGAATACAAGATATGTTATCTTGAATACAAGACAGATTCCAAAGCAACTTTCCTTTCCTGAATTCAAGATTTCTCTGTCCTTTGATCCCATTACTTAGCACGTTCACACCTCTAGGACCTTTTGCATAGACTCTATCCCTTGGCTCATTTCCTGACTTGAGTTCTACACATATAAATAGGAGCAATTTTGATTACATGTAAAAATTTGTCACATACTAACTTTGCTTTTTATCACAGTAATTCTGGAATGGCTAACGGTCAAATGAGCTGCATGTGACCTCTTAGAGATTTATGCGACTAGTGCCATTTCTTAAGTATTTTGTCATTATTCATATTCATATTACTAACTGACTTTTTTTCCTCTCTATAATCAGATAGCAAGAAAACGACACAAGGTTATTGGTACTTTTAGGAGTCCTCATGGCCATACCCGACCTCCGGCTTCTCTTAAACATATTCACCTAATGCCTCTTTCTCAAATTAAGAAGGTGCTGGACATAAGGGAGACAGAAGGTATGCCCATTGAATGAACTGTTGGCTAAATAAAAATTGTTTTAGTTTATTATAGATTTGATTTACTCCCTTATGTTTTTTTGTTTGTTTTTGTTTTTAACTGGTAGATTGTCTTTACTTTAGTTTTGGTTAGTTCTGGTAAAGTCATTGTTCTTATACTTTTATTCCTTGTCTAGGAACTGGCTTGATTTTTCAATTTTTCAAATGAAAATGCTGTAGGATATTTTTATCCTTTAAGAAGTTTCAAAGAGTTTAAATGTATACCAGTCAAAATAGTAGCCTAGCCTGACCTCCCACAATATAGCTGATTTTTATTCCTTTAGCATTTAAAAGAAATATATTACCTGTGTTCCACATTGTATACCTTACCTGTTACCAATGGTTGAACAACTAGGATAGGGCCAGCAGTAGATGTGCATGACTAAAATATACCTAAAATTACTATGTAGACTTGACAGGGTTAAAGGTATATAAAGGAAAACTTTGACCCTCAAATGTGCCAGTGCTCTCTGAAGCCCTGAAATTGCCAAGTTTGTTCTACCCACCACAGTATCATCTGTTGAATATGTGCCTAGTAATGGGTGTGTATGGCCATATTTTGGTATTAGACTTATGTTTTATAATGTAATCTTGTTTGATTACTGAGCCCATTCTTTAATGATGAAAGACTTTTAATTTGTTAGGAAAAATTAAAGAAAACTTGAATTGCAACTTAGACTGCTATCTTTACTCATCAAGTTCTGGATTTATTAAGGGTTATATAGTGTATTTAAATCATCTCCAGGTTTTGAGATTGATTATGGAAACTTGATTAAAATAGATTCTGTTTTAACATCTCGGTCACAAGACATCTTGTACCAACTTTAATATTTTAACATTTTATTTCTTTGAACTTGATTTGAGTTATTGAATTATTATGATAATGACATTTTAAGTTAAAATTTAAGTTCTGGAATTGTAAAAAAATAATACACTCTACTTAAAAAAACACTTCATTATAGAAAACATTCAATGCCATGGAAATCATTTTTACTGAATTTCATTAAATTCGTGTGGTATACTTACTATTATAAATCTTTCCAATGTTTCAGCTTTGTATGGTGATGTTCTTTGCCTAATTGAAAATAAAGGGAACAGGAAGAGTGGAGAAGAGATAATTTCATTAGAATTTTGTTGCTCTGTGGGAACTAAACTTGCATAAATCTATCATTTTCCAATGAGTAATACTTGATGATTTTTCTGTAACCCTAGATTGTCATAATGCTTTTGCCTTGCTTGTGAGGCCACCAACAGAGCAGGCAAATGTGCTGCTCAGTTTCCAGATGACATCAGAAGAACTTCCAAAAGAAAACTGGCTAAAAATGCTATGTCGACATGTAGCCAACACCATTTGTAAAGCAGATGCTGTAAGTTCTTAAACTGCTATTATAATGAAATTTTAAACTTCGTGGCAATGCTTTCAGACTAAACCTGTGCATTTCTAGTATGATTTGTTAATTATTGATGTAAGATTTATAATTTTTGTGTGTATAGAGGAAAACTTGTTTAATAAGTTTCTTTGGAAAGCTTTATTTTTTAAAGTCTAGACACATGAAACATTTCTTTGAGTCCCTCGCTTACAGATAGGCCCTCATAACCTTCTAGCTCCTCTGGCTCTGAATCAGTGAGGCTTTTGGGACTTGCAGTGCATTCTGTGATTTTTCATTGGTGCTTTTTGACCTATTTGTAAAATAACAGGTATTGTATTCTGTTCTTTTATCTTATTGAAAGCTATAGGTGAGTTGTAAATTGCTTTCCCTAGCAGATAAATTATCACAAATTGTTGAAGTTGATGAAATCAGATAGTTTATATTATTATTAGATCATAGATGAGCTCTGCACCCCTAAAGAGATAATCTGATACCTTCATCTGTATGTAACAGATAAATGTTTTGATAGATGACCTTTTTTAGTACAGTAGTCCTTTATTATTGAGACTACTTTGGACATTCTTGTAGGAATAAAATGTTTATTTTATCATTGTTAAGTCTGAACTTAAAAAGACTTTCTGTTAAAATTATTGTGGTTTACGAAGGAAATACTTAGTTAGAATCTTCTCCCTAAGTGTTTTGTACCACAAAAAAGGTTTTAGAGGGAAATAAAATGCTAGTGCATTCAACAGAATTCAGACTATAAAAATGTTGAAGACAAGCTTTTGTTATAAAACTTACAAAACTCATAAAGAAGTTTTTTTCATAAGTTTCAGGTATTACATAAAATGGATCCATATATAAAATAGGATGGCCTATTTAGAAATTAATTACCCCTGCATTTATCATGACATCAGATTGGATGGCTAATGCATTCTTTTCCAAATTTATAACCATAGAACTGAAGTATCAATGGTGGATATTTTCTTTCAAACACAATATTACATTAACTAGCCACAAGATTGCCAGTAGTCCTAGAACTGAAATACGAACAACTAATGCAAAAATTTCAGAGGGTAAAATTAGCCACTAGATGGCAGCAAACATTTAACAATATCCCGACTTATACTATCTTATTTATTTATTTTTATTGAAATAACATTAGATGAATTTCAGGTATACATCAGTGTGAATTTACATGTTACGTTCGCTCTCTCTCCATTACACCATTGTCCCTCTACCCGCTTTTGATTTTGACCGTTTTAAACCACACAAAAAATATAAAGTTGTGAAAAAAAAATTTTTTTAAGGATTTATTTATTTATTTATGCAAGCACTGGGTACAGTCAGAAGCGTGGAAGGGTGAGAGAATTCACCAGAGCGGGGAGCAGAACCGGCAGACTGACCAAGTACACTGCTGAGGGAAGCAGCGGGTGCGGCAGGAGAGGTCTGCACGCCATGTGTGACCCTAGCTGGTGGCTGATGATCGAACTGGCGCTGCAGAGGCTGTGGGCAGCTTCGCAGCCCAGCGCTCAACTGCTGCGCCACCAGGGGAGGCCCTGAAAATTTTTTGTTAAATGTTTGTAAATTCAAATATTCAGTGACTTCATTTGAACCCTTTCTCACATTTAAAATAATGCACATGTAAATTATTAAAAATACTGTATTACTCTTACTTGACATTTGCTATGTTGATAATAAAATGTTTATATATATGTGCACCATAACACGCACAGCATACATACACCGAAGACGTAAAAGATATAAAAATCTCTTAAGTCTTATTATATACTTTTTTGGTGCCCTAAATAATTGGAGCTTACTTAAGAGTAAAATAAATACATCTTTTTATTCTGTGGTATTTCATTCCTCATGGCCATTTGTAAATGTCTAAAAAATTAAAGTTACAGAATGAAAGAAAACATAATCTTATCTGACATGTGAAACTAAACCCAAAGTCATAAAGCAGACATTAGAATCCAGGGGTTCTTATTCTTGATTAAACCTTGATAATTACTCCCCAGTACCCCTCATGGATATGATAGCAAATATTATGCTATTTAAAGATCAAAGATTAAATCTCGTGAAAATTTTACCTCATTTTTGTTCTCTTGCTGACATGTAACTTTTGATTGAACAGTCCATATGTTGTCTGAGGTCAGATGAAAGTTTTGATAAAGTCCTGCTACAGATTTATAACTTCTAATATAAAAAGTACAATTTTATTAACAATTTAAGCAATGTTGTTATTCCCTTCCTTTCATTTTGAATAGATTAGAAGTAGCATCTTGATAATGGTCTATATTACAATTAAATACTTTTCCACAGATTTTTTTATATGTATTTCTATTTTTTTGTATTTTTTAATTTCTTTTAATAATCAGACTCATCCTACATCTTGGTCAAATCACTACTGGCTACTTTTGAGTAACAATATTCATTCATAGTTTGTAAACTTATACCTAGAATTTTAAATATATGAGGAATAGACTGAAGATAGAACATGTGTGAGAATTTTGTACTTATGAATCAATAGTATTTATAATGGAGTCAATGGGATTTGTATTTAAAATTATAATTCTGCTGGTTTTAAGTCATACATAGTAAATTGTTTATATGTATTTCTGTTATTGGTATTGCTTTGGCCAAGTCAGAAGCTGTAAACTATTAACTTGATTATAGAGTTTAAAGAAATCATTACTGGGGCATAAGCTAAGGGAGGAGGAGCATAATATCAGACATTATATCTTTTTTATCTGTGAGTTTGGCAACTAGTGAAAAAAGAACCTTTTTTTTTTTTTTTAAGATTCCTTTATACAAGAACCGGAGTACAGGCCAGATATGCGGGAGGGTGAGAGGATTCACCAGAGACAGAGCGGGGAACAGAACAGGTAGACTGACTGAAGTACACTGCTGAGGGGAGCAGCGAGCAAGACAGGGGAGGTCTGCCGCGCCATGTGGGTATCTCCACGGCCGGCAGGGATCTTACCGGCATTGTAGAAGCTGCAGACAACTTCACAGCACTGCGCTCAACTGCCTGCGCACCAGGGAGGCCCTGGAAAAGGAAACTTTAAAGAAAGGTTAGGTAACTCACTTGTAGACGGGCTTACCTGGCTTAAGATGTCAGAAATGATAGAAAATTTCCTGTGAATTAAAACTCATGAGTAGATCTCTGAAATCTGTAGCTGATTTTCCATTACTGGAGAAATTAGTATTCTGTATCTAAATGGCAGAAATCATTACTTTCTAATCTCATTTTTTTGAACAAAACTCGTCTCTTTATTTTATAATTGCCTCCATCAAACCATCTTTGCTTGCAGCCAATCTGTGTCAGTGCCCCTCATCCCCACCCTTTTTTCTCTTATTCCCTCTGGTAACTGTTATCTTTTTTGCTGAGATCAAATTTCTTTTATTGTTTGTGTGTAATTTTTTTTTTTTTTTTAGAATTTGTATTTCGCAGAAGAGTAAAACCATTTGAAATCTTACTTTTTGGGCGATTTCACTCAACCTAATCACATCAAGGTGTATTCATGTTGTACCAAATGCTGTCACTTCATCTTTCTTTACAGCTGGTAATATTCTATTGAATATACGCTCCATAGTTTCTCAATCCATTCATTGAGAGAGATTGTTTGCCCATTTTTTAATTGGATCTTTTGTTACTTTGTTTTGTTGGATTGTGTAAGTACTTTGTAAATTTTGGAAATTAGCCCCTTATCAGGTGTATGGTATGCAAATATTTTTAATAAGTGCTACTGGGAAACATGGATAACAACATGTTAAAAAAAGAATAAAGGAAGATCCATATTTAACACCATACATAAAAAATACACTCAAATTAGATTAAAGATTTGGACAAAACAACCAAAACCACAGAGTGCTTGAAAGAAAATATAGTGGACACACTACAGCACATCTACCACAAATACGTATTTAGGAATATAACCCCAGCAGCAAGGAAAACAAAAACGAAATAAACAAGTGGGACTATATTAAATGGTTGTTCCATTGGTCTGAGTTTCTGTTTTTGTTCCAGTACCATACTATTCTGATTCTGTTGCTGTGTAATATTGTTTGAAGTCAGAAAGAGGGTCTGCCTCCATTTTTTTTCATTTCTCTCAAGATTGCTTGAGCTATTTGGGGCCTTTTGTGGTTCCATATAAAATTGATAATTGTTTTATTTCCTTTAAAAATGTCTTTGGTATTTTCATAGGTATGTGTTAAATTTGTGAACTTTTAGCTAGTATGGCCATTTTAATGATGTTAATTGTTAAATGTTAATGATGTTAATTGTTAATGGGTAGCTTTCCATTTCTTTGTGTCTTCTTTTATTTTCTTTAATAGAGTTTTATAGTTTTCATTATACAAGCCTTCACCAACTTCATTTGATTTATACCCAGGCATTTCATTCTTTTGAGGGTGAGTTTAAATGGAACTGTGTTCCTCAGTTCCCTTTCTTCTGATGCATTGTTCACATATAGAAATGCCACTGATTTTTGTATATTGATTTTGTATTCTGTCACCTGACTGTATTCATTTATTATTTCTAGAAATACTTTTGTAGAATCTTTTGGTTTCTCCAAGTATTTTCTCATGTCATCTGTGAATAGTGGAAGTTCCACTTCTTTCCCAATTTAGATTCCATTTATGTCTTTTTCTTGCCTAATTGCTTCAGCTTTAATTTCCAGGACTATGTTGAATAACAGTGATAATAGTGGACACCCCTGTCTTGTTTGTGATCCTAGTGGAAATGCTTTTAGCTTTTTACTATTGAGTATGATATGGCTGTATGTTTGTCATATATGACTTTTTCAATATTCCATTTATTCCCATTTTGGGGAAGGTTTTTAATCATAAATGGATGTTGGATCATGACATATACATTTTGGCCTCTATTGATAAGATCATGTGATATTTGTCTTCCTTCTGTTGATCTGATGGAAGACATTGCTTGATTTACCTATGTTGAACCAGCCTTGCATCCCTGGGATGAAACC